CAATAATAATCGTTAAAATGTGGAAGCTTTCGAGATTTTTTAATGGCACCCTTAGAAAAGGTAGTTTTCTTGCAACTTGTCTTGCAGTATTAAAGCGATACGAGATGCACAAAAAATTGCCTAGAGCACGAACATTAATTAGCGCCTTTATCTGTTTTGAGATATATATTTTTAGAGTAAGCTTTATATGTTTACTGTTGACCGACGAACGTACAAGGAGGCGTAATATATGAAATAGTATATTTAAGTTTCTACGGAAGCGCACACAGTGTTAACGATGCAAATATATATTGACTCCTTAGCACATGATAATCCATAATCCTATTATAAACTACCGATATGGAGATATTAATCGCCTCCCTAGCATGCGAAAAACCTATTATAATGACAATAGGATGCAATCATCACATACCCCATTTACCAAAAAGAAAAAACAAGAACAACATAGAAAAATCAATCTTCAATTACAAACAGTTTGAAGAGAGAAATTGGGATAAAGTTCTACAGAAAGCGAAGTACAGCCTTAGAGGTTAAACTAGTGAGGCTTTGACAATTTGTCCACAGCGCGTTAGATAATGACCCCGGGAACCTGGGCCTAAGATGATAGTTTGGCTGGGCTGCCTGTGTCTGGACTAACACTCTGGTTTGCTCTCAACTCCGTTGCCTGCCTGTCTGTTCCTGAAGCTGAGCTGCTCCCTAATTAAACCTGACCCATCTGTCTCTGTAGTCTGGACCTCTATAAGTGACCCTCGGATCTGCGACTAATTGTGCCGCAACTCTCTGTCGCTTCGTATGGAGACTACGCAAGATCTTGGAATTCCCTGGATCTTGCCTTGTATCACCACTGGCTTCCATTCCTGGGTTCTCAGGTTCTCAACTGCTATCTTCTGACCTGGTTCGAGACTTTGGTGACGCCTTGGTGTGTAGATCGTAATAGTGCTTCTTCGGATAATTGAGAGAACTTGTAACGTGGATGAGCCTGTATTCCTTTGCAAATTGACGATAGTAGCCATGGAAGTGTGGGCCATCCTCTGACCTGACAGTTCGTGAAATGCCTTGCCCAGTGAAGATTTGCTTTGTTAAATCAACGACAACCTTACTTTGTGCTCTGGAGTCTGCGTATCTTTTTAAGAAAAGAGAAATTAATCAGGTACTCATTATCGCCCACGTAGAGCAGATCAGTTCCCACTGTGTACCAAGGTCCTTTGTTGTACCTCGGTCTGAACTAGGGGTTTCCATGAATGCCTAGGTTGGAGTTCCTGACAGACTTTGCATGTCTTGGTCAGTTCTTCAATGTCCTTGTTTAGATTTCTCCCGAATACTGATGTGTGCCCTCAATTTGGTCTTCTCAGTACCATGGTGACTGGCATGAAGTTTTGATAAAATTTATCCCAAGATTGTCTTCGGCAGACATCTCTTCCAAGCAGGATCAACAGGGTTGAACCAACAGAGGAAGTTCGTTTACTGACCACTGTGGGGACTGACTTATCACTGTAATATGGTATTGGCTCTGAAACTTTCCAATTACACTGAAACAATCAGGTTATCTGTCGCCAAATCACCCATGACTTTAAGGAGTGGGTTTCTGGATATACCCTATCGTGAGGGTGTGCCTGTCTCGGGTGTGGCTCCTTCAGGTTTTGGACCTTCTGCTTCAGTAACAAAAAGGGTGGACACAGTTTTTCGGCCTTAGAATTTACATGCGATTCCAGGACGTTCCATATGGTCTAAGCTTGGCACCACAAAAAGCTGACAGTACTGTAGGGGGAGTAGGGGAGTACGCTAGCGCTCCATGCTTAGGAAGATCATCCGCCGGTAGATTCTGAGGAAACATATGGAAACAATCTAAAAGCAAAGGGTTTCCTTACGCTTTTGTGTCCAACCTGAAGTGCTTTTGGTGCGGAGGTCCATATTTACTTTAAAAAACACTTCATCTTTCTTGTCATTTCGTTTTGGAGGATCAAAAGCACCAGCTTCAATTGATTTGAAAGCAATTGACTCAAATTGCTCATTTAAATCGACTGCCAACTTGTCTCTGTGTCCAGCATCTAAAGACCTTCCTCAACCTTGAAGGTCTCTGCCTTTAGATCTATGCCTTGATCTGAAATTTCCTACTCCTCGAACCTCCATGGTTTCCGACATACTCTTGCTCAATGGTTGGGTTTCCGGCAATTTAGGCACTCAGATTCATATGCGGGACAACTTTCTGTGGTTGTTCAAGAATGTTCTAGACCAGAGTTAGGGCACTGCATATACTTGTTACTATTGCTGGCGCTCTTTTTGATTCCATGAACATCCTTGTTTCAATCCCATGCCAACTGCTCAAATTGTAACAGGGTAGCTTCGTGTGTTCGAGCAATGCTAATTGGTTCTTCAAGCGATAGTATTTCACCTTTTTTTAAAAGGCCTTTTTGAACTTTCTTTTGTTTTATTGCACTTTGAAGCCTGATTCCGACAGCATATCATAAAATCATCAATAGTTTGTTCGCTCTTTCGCCAAATCTGATGAAGCTGATATTTGGCTAACCTGTGATGTACTTTGTGGTGTTACCAGGTGTTACCTGGTTATCAAACCGTCGTCAAATATCTTCTGGTTATATACGATCATAGACGTCTTCCCATACCGTAAAATTCCGAAAATAAGCCCCTCCATGTATAAGCCCCTCCAATTACAAGCCCCCTGAAACCAACCCTCCGTTAAATCGCCCCTCCAAATATAAGCCCACTGCCCCCGCTCACTAAAGCGCATAGCATTCTACTGTCTATCACAGAGCCTCCATGAAACCTCCCGCAACACAACTCCCAACTACCCCGCGCCCACGAAATCCACCACACTGGGACTGTATTTTTGGTGTTAACCAGTGTTAACCGGCTAACAAAACCTAGGCAAAAATATTTCTTTTAAATACCCGTAAAAACCGTCTCCCCCATCGTTAAAATCCCGAAAAAAACCCCCCCCTATATAAACCCCCCCCCTTAAAATCCCCCCCAAAACCCCCCCCCCTTAAAACCCCCCCCCCAAAAATAGTCCCCCCCCCCCCCCGCCCCTCCGGGAGCTTGTACTTCAAAGACAAACTAAACAAAGCAAAAACGGTAAATTTACTTCCAACTATAAGGCTAGCCCAATCGATGTTGAAACGCAAGTTTCCCTTCGTAGATAAGCCCCTCAAAAGGGCCTTTCCAAAATATAAGCCCCGGGGCTTATTTTCGGAATTTTAAGGTATCCAACTGCTGTAGGCTTCTACACCTTGGCGGCCAATCCACAATGTGTCAAGGCTGTGCTCTAAGGAAAATTGAAGGGAACCGAGTGATCAGAGCCTGTAAAATCTGGAGTGCTCAGCATAGGATCTGTTTGAAAAAAGTAGTCTAGTCGCCCGAGGGCAAACGTTAGGCGCCAGGGGCCACCAGGCTCTCCTAGAGCACAGCCCTGAGATGCGATCATCACATTTACCATCACTTTAGACAGACGTCTAGACTGATCCCCAAAATGGCCACACCCTTTAACCAACTCCTACCCCACCCAGTGGATCCATTAGGAAATCCTGCAACTACGGTTAAACTTTTTTTAGTTAAGGTCTATGACCCCTCCCAGATCCACAAATTTACAAGAACAGAAATAATATTTAGCATTAAAATGTCCAAAAACAATAAAAATTGATGAGCTCTGCAGAGTTGTAAGGGCATATGGGGCTTATTTCAGGAAGCACTTAAAATATGTTGGTGATGCATTGTAAATATAACGTGTCCACTGTGTTGCCGTTATGTTATCCACTTACTTCATTATTTTACCGAAGAAGTTGATAGCTCTTTCATTTTCTAAGGAAATAAACCATTAATTAAAACAATGAGTAAAGAGCATTGAGAAGGTTGAGAATAATTATATTTGTGAAATGCAGGTGTGTTTCAAGCTTTAGACTAGGGAAACAATAGGTTTGATTTTCTGCAGAAAAGCAAGGCAGAAATTGCTCATTGTAGCGTACATGATTTACCTTGAGGATCTAGCTATTCATCAATCCTACACTACAGGATTTAGGTACAGGAAATAACTTGGAATAATGGACAACACACAAGAAAACTACAAACTAAAACTGTTTAAAGAATATTTAATTTATGCACGTATCAAACGGGCTTGACTGTCATTAACAGGACTAGTCATAGTGAAGACAGTTATAGGAAACGATTGCACACAAACCAATCTAACATCACATAGGCCAAGTTAATAACATACCTTTAAACACAGTCAGCATCACCTTTTTCATTTGTGCTCTGAAAGAAAAAAGCAATTTCTTCAAACTTTTACGCCCTTAGTACCTAAAAGTACCTCTGCCAAGGTACATGACAGAGCTGTCATTAAGGGCCGTAACCTGTAACACCTGTTACAGCTGCTCTCACTTGATGTTACGAGTGATTAAAGTGGAAAGCAAAAGGTGGCACTATAAATTTTGTGAGATGTTACGGGTGAATCTTGATTTGCTACGGCTACTTCAAAACTTAATGACAGCCCTGCATGATGATAAAAATTCAGTCCGTAACCAACCTATGTGCCATCATCTCCAATATTTGCATGAGGAACTTGCCAAGACCTTTGCCGCGTACATTAGATTCCAGTTGAATTTCATAACTACGAAAAAAAATAGAACTCTAATGACATTGGAAAGTCCTGCTGTGCTGCATAAATTTAAGTCACTCACAACTCACCTACAATTTCACAATTACATGAAAAAAGCTCACAAACGTGCGTTAATTTTTCAGTATTAATGTGCTTGGAAAATATAATGACCTACCAATAAAGAACTTCATCTCCTTCGTCCAAATCAAATCTAAAATGCGAAAATCCTATGGCTTTTCCTGATTCACATTTTGCCACTAGATACCTGATAAAACATGGGAGAAAAAATGTCAACCTTTGTTACTACTAAAAAAGATCTCTGAAAAAGCTGAAAATAGCATCCAGCTTTCATTTTGGTAGCAAGGGCGGTGCAGTGGCTCCCACCATTGTGGCCTAGGTTTGAATCTTAGAAATGATCTCAAATGTGGGTTGGGTTTTTTGTAGGTTTCTGCCCTTGTTCTGAGAGGTTTTTCTGGGTACCGCAATTTCTCGATTAAACGCCTCTGGCCTTTATTTAAAAATTGGCGGTATTGCATTTGACCCGCCGTTTTATCGATTCCGGCGTTTATCAAAGATATGCAATTTTCTGTCATTTTTTCAGGTTGATTTATCATTACGGATCCTCGAAGACCCAGGGGCAGTAAGTCAGGGTGGGACGATTTTCCCCTTCGTCCGGCCTCTAGATCTCTAGCCTGCGTGGCAGCCGTTCGAAATGGAAGGGAAAGAGGGTTTTGGGCTTAATGCAGGCTACTAGATCTCCGAGGATGATTACCGTATGTACATTACCCAAAGTTACCGTATTATTTTACCGTAAATCTTGTGAAGAATCCATCCTATGTTACGCCGGAGTTTTGCCTTTGAACATTTATTAAAATACCAAAACAACAAACTGTACTTGGTACATGTATGTCGTAACAGTGCTATTCAAGAGATCATATTTGTAACCGGTCCTTGCGACCTTGACCGCAAATAAATTTCGGGGTCTCGATCAAACGCCAGGGCCCCGATTAAACACCTCCAACGTTTATTCAAAAATCGGAAGTGACCCGGTGTTTAATCGAGAATGTACGGTACAAAACATTTAAGCTGATGAGCAACTACATAAATCTTTTTCCTAGATGTAAAAAAAAAACTTGATTTTGTTTACCCACAGAACACCCAAGAGCTCTTACCAACTTGTTTCACAGGTGTTCGTGTGTTTCAGATGAAACTGGAATTTGGAAATGTTGGTTTTTAATCAAAGAGAAAACCAGAGTGGGCTGTTTATAAGGTACAAGTGCTTTTTGAAATCAGGAGAACTCCTGAATTCACCCAAGAATGGTTTAAGAGTTGCATGAAATATGGCAGTAAATGTACAGGTAAAGGACTCTTGACCTATTTCAAATTCTTCTTTTGTTTCTAAAGCAAATACATTGTTAAGCTAGTAAGTAATCAGAAGTTACTTGGGGCTAAGGAAGTCCTCCTTCTGATGTTCTTTACATCTATTTAGAATGAAGCGGAGATCGTCTAAACTTGATCTCCTGCCTTGTAACAGGTTAAGTGAACACTGTGTGAATGAATGTATAGCAATAAAGGCACTTCCTCTTCTTAGGGCTTTGCAAAATATAGCCTAACAGATATGAGCCATTACCAAGCTTTATCTTCAGTCATTTCATCTCTCTTCTTTTTGTCACTCCAACCCCAGCTGCTATTTTCATAACTAAGAAATGAAAAAAAAAATCTCTTAAAATCAAAACAACATAAACACATAATCTTTAATAAGCCATCACGTGGAAAGAGAATAAAATAGGATATGATGTTACAGGTCAAACTTAATTCAGGTTAAAATTTTCTAACCTAGGTTGATTCTCAATTTCCTGTCTCCTGCTAGTCCTAAATAGTCATGAATTAGTGCTGGGAGACAAGGAAACTTGAGAATCATACTGCGATAAAAATTTTTACCTGAATTTAATTTTGACCAATAAGTTATACATGTGTTGATATCGTGTCTTACAGCAATTGCATATTGTGCTTTGTGAGATCAAAAGCCCAGTCAATGTCCTCTTTACTCATGTTGGTGACTCTCTGACACTCCAGATGAACATTCAATCTACAGTTTATCAACAAGAAAAATAAATTTACTAATACACAACAAAAAAACTTGTGGGATACAGTCAAGTACAAGATGGAAACATTGGAACCAGTCCCAAAGGGGCCATCTTAGCAAGATGACCATCTTAAAGACGGTTTACCCATTTGCTGCTGGAAATCTTCCCGAAAAAAACCTCTTGAAGCTAGACAAGCAATTTCCTGGTCACCACCTGGCCAAAAAGAACCAAAACTGCCCAAAATGCTGTCTATACTAATAAGGTACACTGTAAAGCACTTCCAGCCTTCCCTTCGTGATGCTAAATATCAGCTTTTGAAGAATGGGCATGTACAGAAAGCAAAAATTTGAGATACAGTCAAACCTGTGTACAACAATGGTCACCCTTAGGAAATGGCAAGGTAACGGTTATAAACAGGGTAACCATTATATACAGGTCAACTCTGCAGAAAACATAAGGCAACTGAACATTTTGAGAAGTTGTCCAGTGACCATAATGGGTTATACAGGGCCGTTATATACAGGTTTGACTGTAGCCTTTGGTGTTAAAAGGGGCACGACCTCTTCAACTTTCACCCTTCACTTTTTCTGTTCCCCTCTTCTTTTTGGCTAGACATCTACTGGGTTCCATTTTGGTGGGACATGTCTTTTGGGAAACTTTTAGAATTGAAGGCTAGGGGTTAGATGGAAGGCAGTGCAGGTGAGTAGTGGAACAAGATTTTTGTTGGAATTTTCGGGTCAACTTTCAGAAGTAAAAGTACGTTTTTTTCAGGGCTTTCAATAAGGGCCGAGGACCAGAGATTTTCCTCGGCTACAGTTGAACCTCAGTTATCTGGACCTTGATTATCCGGACTTGTTTCTCTGGGCCAGTTTTTGTCATGAATATTAATAAGATGTGATCTTCAAAAATTGACATGATTGAAAGTTCATTCATATTACATGAAGGTAATACATACAGACCATAAATAAATGCAAATAGGAGCTAATTCACAATTAATTTTGTTTTCTTTATTCTCTGTGTTTACATTTTTGTCTCATTAATATTCATGTTTTTGATTATCCGGACTCTTGATTATCTGGACTATTTACTCAAGTCCCAACAAGTCTCTGGATAATCGAGGTTTGACTGTCCTATGAGTATGACCCCTGGCTACTTTCTTAGGGAATAAAACGAAAATAGAACCAAAAGAACTTCCTAACTGTTCAATAATACCCGTCCACTAACTGCACAGACCCATAAGTTTCAAATCTTAGTGACAGCCCTGTTTTTTTTCATTTGTCCCCAGCCTGTTTGACTGAATCATGCTCATTAGCAGGGTTCTCAAAAAGAGTCGGCGGCTGGCGAAATTCACTTGCTATTTCATGTGAACTCGCCGCCTACTTTCCCTTGGAAATCCCCCCTCCCACCCAAAGCCAAAACTTAATGATGTCTGTGTTCTGTTGAAACACTAATTTTTGCTCCAGAATTCTGGAATTGCACTCAAAGAGGCCCAAATTGTAAAATTTTTGCGGGAGGCATGCCCCCAGGCCCCCCTATTAACTTGCCCTTTTGGCACTCACAAGTTGCGCCTGTGACATAAGTTTTTTTCTTCTCCGCCTACTCCAAAGCTTTTGCCATCTATTTGAAAACCCCACATTAGAATATGGTTTGAAAGATCTCTTTACCCCCACAATGATTAAATGCTGAAGTTGGCTATGACAATAAAAACCAATGATGCTATAAGTGGTACAAGGGCCATGAATCCACATGGGGAAGGAAACATAGGCACTTTATGGGTTCATGGGTTACGTTAAAGTAAAATGACTGGAAAATGGGTGGGAAGGGACCATCACCAGATGTCCATCATAAGGAGGAGGAGTCCGTCTTGTAGGTATCCACTAAGAAAGAGTTGACTGTAATCTGTATTTAAAGACAAGTAACCTGTTTATTGAAATTAACCACGGGAATATCACAGGAAGTGCTCCTAAGATTTTATATTCAAGGTAACTCACCCATTTCTGTTGAAACTCTTAAAAGCTGTTAAAGGTGCGAGAGGATCTTCTACCTTAGAAAGTGTGAAACAGCAGTGACAGACAGTCAGTAAAAATTAACATGATTTTCAACCACTATAGACAATCATCTTTGCTACCAAGTAAACTCAACAGTTCTTAAACTAAACAAACAAGCCCCCATGTTACAGACTGCATTTGTACACTATGATGTTTATGCACCATAATTAACACTGTACAAAAGTAACACTACACCTTCAAATTTAGTGGAAGCTATGACTTTTACCTCATTAGCAACATCTACAACAGCTTGGGCTGCACTGACTTTTGCCATTTCCTTCAGAAAAAAACAATAATAAATTATTATTTAATTAATAAATGAAGTTATAACAATATATTGAATCTCCAAACCACAACAATTCCTGTTCTATGTAAAAATTGTCAAAATAAGTAGCTACTTAGATTCTTCAATCATGTAACCCTACCCAAAATGTTCCTCCAGTTTCATAGTCCTAACCGTTTTTGTTAGCCAGTCCTAGTCCCAAATACACCCTCTTGAGCCCTTCCCCTTCTACAAAACATAATAAAGATGATAATAATAATAATAATAATAATAATAATAAAATGATAATAATAATAACAAGTGTTAACCAAAGGTTATGAAGTGCGGGCAACAACAATCGAAGGTCAAAATGCTGTGCTTTGCACTAGTTTCACATGATAGTAGGCCAAGACACGCATGATTAATTACGAGTGATAGATGTTGCAAACTGCGTTTGATGAATTCCATTCATTCTCAGTGGAAATCCAAACGAAGCTCGCTACATACATGTGTAAGTGCGCTGCATGCGTAAGATGGTGATTCTAATGTACTTATTACAAGCAAGGACGTGTGGGTTATCCAAGTGACACCCGCCCCCTTAAAGTCAATTTTAAATGTTGTTAACGTAAATGAGATAGTGATTCTGATGTACTTATTATAAGCGGGGACATGTGGGTTGTCCAAGTGACACCCGCCCCTTGAAGGTCAATTTTAAATGTTGCTAAGCTAAGTAAGATAGTGATTCTAATGTACTTATTACAAGAGGGGACGTGTGGGTTATCCAAGTGATACCCGCCCATTGAAAGTCAATTTTAAATGTTGTTAAGCTAAATAAGATAGTGATTCTAATGTACTTATTGCAAGCGGGGACGTGTGGGTTATCCAAGTGACACCCGCCCCTTGAAAATCAATTTTAAATGTTGATAAGATAAATAAGGTAGTGATTCTAATGTACTTAATATATTGATTTAGCCAGGGCTAAAAGCGAAGCTCTCGTTAACTAGATACTTATAAACAAAAATTAAAATCGTATAATGCTAAACAGCAACAGCCATGAGAAAGGCAACCAAATCAATAGATCTAATGAACAAAAAGCAAATTTGCATGTGCAGCACACTTTTTTTGTACAAGTCTTTGCTGTTTTGCATGACACATTGCTGTTTTGCACGACTAAAACGTATAACTTCCTGGTTACACATTATTTTTATGGAGGAATTGCTGTATTTGCCCACCAAAAATTTTGTTGCTTGTGTTCCTATTCAATTTTTTTCACTCCTGTTCATTTTCACCTTGCTGGCTGCAGGCATTTCGCATGTTTCTCATAGCCGCTATGAAATTTTTGTGTTTTTCTTCTAATGAAATTTGTATCCTTTGTTTTAAATCACTCGCACTAAGCATACATTGGTATGCCTATGATGTGAAAGGACAGTCACACGGACATACCGCCATGTGATTACCAAAATTTCCCAGATGGATGGATAACCAAATTTTGTTAGGTAAAGGGGCTCCGCTCTAGAGTATGAAGTGGAGAACATAGGGGTTGTCTAAGTGACACCCACCCCTTAAAGGTCAATTTTAAATGTTGTTGAGCTTATTGACGTAGTAAATCTGATGTACTTATTACAAACAGCAACATGTAGGTTGTTTAAGTGACACCCGCCCCTTGAAGGTCAATTTTAAATGTTGCTAAGCTAAGTAAGATAGTGATTCTAATGTACTTATTACAAGCGGGGACATGTGGGTTGTCCAAGTGACACCCGCCCCTTGAAGGTCAATTTTAAATGTTGCTAAGCTAAGTAAGATAGTGATTCTAATGTACTTATTACAAGCGGGGACATGTGGGTTGTCCAAGTGACACCCGCCCCTTGAAGGTCAATTTTAAATGTTGCTAAGCTAAGTAAGATAGTGATTCTAATGTACTTATTACAAGCGGGGACATGTGGGTTGTCCAAGTGACACCCGCCCCTTGAAGGTCAATTTTAAATGTTGCTAAGCTAAGTAAGATAGTGATTCTAATGTACTTATTACAAGCGGGGACATGTGGGTTGTCCAAGTGACACCCGCCCCTTGAAGGTCAATTTTAAATGTTGCTAAGCTAAGTAAGATAGTGATTCTAATGTACTTATTACAAGCGGGGACATGTGGGTTGTCCAAGTGACACCCGCCCCTTGAAGGTCAATTTTAAATGTTGCTAAGCTAAGTAAGATAGTGATTCTAATGTACTTATTACAAGCGGGGACATGTGGGTTGTCCAAGTGACACCCGCCCCTTGAAGGTCAATTTTAAATGTTGCTAAGCTAAGTAAGATAGTGATTCTAATGTACTTATTACAAGCGGGGACATGTGGGTTGTCCAAGTGACACCCGCCCCTTGAAGGTCAATTTTAAATGTTGCTAAGCTAAGTAAGATAGTGATTCTAATGTACTTATTACAAGCGGGGACATGTGGGTTGTCCAAGTGACACCCGCCCCTTGAAGGTCAATTTTAAATGTTGCTAAGCTAAGTAAGATAGTGATTCTAATGTACTTATTACAAGCGGGGACATGTGGGTTGTCCAAGTGACACCCGCCCCTTGAAGGTCAATTTTAAATGTTGCTAAGCTAAGTAAGATAGTGATTCTAATGTACTTATTACAAGCGGGGACATGTGGGTTGTCCAAGTGACACCCGCCCCTTGAAGGTCAATTTTAAATGTTGCTAAGCTAAGTAAGATAGTGATTCTAATGTACTTATTACAAGCGGGGACATGTGGGTTGTCCAAGTGACACCCGCCCCTTGAAGGTCAATTTTAAATGTTGCTAAGCTAAGTAAGATAGTGATTCTAATGTACTTATTACAAGCGGGGACATGTGGGTTGTCCAAGTGACACCCGCCCCTTGAAGGTCAATTTTAAATGTTGCTAAGCTAAGTAAGATAGTGATTCTAATGTACTTATTACAAGCGGGGACATGTGGCTTGTCCAAGTGACACCCGCCCCTTGAAGGTCAATTTTAAATGTTGCTAAGCTAAGTAAGATAGTGATTCTAATGTACTTATTACAGGCAGGGACATGTGGGTGGTCCAAGTGACACCCGCCCCTTGAAGGTCAATTTTAAATGTTGCTAAGCTAAGTAAGATAGTGATTCTAATGTATGTATTACAAGCGGGGACATGTGGGTTGTCCAAGTGACACCCGCCCCTTGAAGGTCAATTTTAAATGTTGTTTAGCTAAATAAGATAGTGATTTTGATGTACTTGTTACAGTGTAACCCCCGCCTTATGGCCACCTCGGTAATATGGTCACCTCATTATTACAACCTTTTTTTTTGGCCGCAACCGACAAAAACGACCATACATTTTCTTGTAAAGAAACCCACTTTAGTTCGGTTACTCATTATTACAATCAAATTTTTTTGGCTCATTGGTGACCGTATTAACGGGGTTCCACTGTACATACGGGGACAGGCGGGTTGTCCAAGTGACACCAACCCCTTGAAGGTCAATTTTAAATGTTAAGCTGAATAAGATAGTGATTCTAATGTACTTATTACAAGCGGGGACATGTGGGTTGTCCAAGTGACACCCGCCCCTTGAAGGTCAATTTTAAATGTTGCTAAGCTAAGTAAGATAGTGATTCTTATAAACTTACTACAAGCGGGGACATGTGGGTTGTCCAAGTGACACCAACCCCTTGAAGGTCAATTTTAAATGTTGCTAAGCTAAGTAAGATAGTGATTCTTATAAACTTACTACAAGCGGGGAAATGTGGGTTGTCCAAGTGACACCCGCCCCTTGAAGGTCAATTTCAAATGTTAAGCTAAATAAGATAGTGATTCTGATGTACTTATTACAAGTGGGGACATGTGGGTTGTCCAAGTGACACCTGCACCTTGAAGGTCAATTTTAAATCTTGTTAAGCTAAATAAGATAGTGATTCTGATGTACTTATAAGAAGAGGGGACATGTGGGTTGTCCAAGTGACACCCACCACTTGAAGGTCAATTTCAAATGTTGATAAGATAAATGTGGTAGTGATTCTGATTTACTTATTTCAAGCAGGGAAAAGTGGGTTGTCCAAGTGACACCCGCCCCTTGAAGGTCAATTTTAAATGTTGCTAAGCTAAGTAAGATAGTGATTCTAATGTACTTATTACAAGTAGGGACATGTGGGTTGTGCAAGTGACACCCGCCCCTTGAAGGTCAATTTTAAATGTTCCTAAGCTAAGTAAGATGGTGATTCTAATGTACTTATTACAAGCGGGGACATGTCGGTTGTCCAAGTGACACCCGCCCCTTGAAGGTCAATTTTAAATGTTGGTAAGCTAAGTAAGATAGTGATTCTAATGTACTTATTACAAGCGGGGACATGTGGGTTGTCCAAGTGACACCAACCCCTTGAAGGTCAATTTTAAATGTTAAGCTAAATAAGATAGTGATTCTGATGTACTTATTACAAGTGGGGACATGTGGGTTGTCCAAGTGACACCCGCTCCTTGAAGGTCAATTTTAAATCTTGTTAAGCTAAATAAGATAGTGATTCTGATGTACTTATAATAAGTGGGGACATGTGGGTTGTCCAAGTGACACCTGCTCCTTGAAGGTCAATTTTAAATCTTGTTAAGCTAAATAAGATAGTGATTCTGATGTACTTATAACAAGTGGGGACATGTGGGCTGTCCAAGTGACACCCACCCCTTGAAGGTCAATTTCAAATGTTGATAAGATAAATGTTGTAGTGATTCTGATGTACTTATTACAAGCGGAGACATGTGGGTTGTCCAAGTGACACCCGCCCCTTGAAGGTCAATTCTAAATGTTGTTAAGCTAAATAAGATAGTGATTCTGATGTACTAAAAACAAGCGGGGACATGTGGGTTGTCCAAGTGACACCCACCCCTTGAAGGTCAATTTTAAATGTTGTTAAGCTGAATAAGATAGTGATTCTACTGTACTTATTACAAGCGGGGACACGTGGGTTGTCCAAGTGACACCGGCCCCTTGAAGGTCAATTCTAAATGTTGTTAAGCTAAATAAGATAGTGATTCTGATGTACTAAAAACAAGCGGGGACATGTGGGTTGTCCAAGTGACACCCACCCCTTGAAGGTCAATTTTAAATGTTGTTAAGCTGAATAAGATAGTGATTCTACTGTACTTATTACAAGCGGGGACACGTGGGTTGTCCAAGTGACACCCGCCCCTTGAAGGTCAATTCTAAATGTTGTTAAGCTAAATAAGATAGTGATTCTGATGTACTAAAAACAAGCGGGGACATGTGGGTTGTCCAAGTGACACCCACCCCTTGAAGGTCAATTTTAAATGTTGTTAAGCTGAATAAGATAGTGATTCTACTGTACTTATTACAAGCGGGGACACGTGGGTTGTCCAAGTGACACCCGCCCCTTGAAGGTCAATTCTAAATGTTGTTAAGCTAAATAAGATAGTGATTCTGATGTACTAAAAACAAGCGGGGACATGTGGGTTGTCCAAGTGACACCCACCCCTTGAAGGTCAATTTTAAATGTTGTTAAGCTGAATAAGATAGTGATTCTACTGTACTTATTACAAGCGGGGACACGTGGGTTGTCCAAGTGACACCGACCCCTTGAAGGTCAATTCTAAATGTTGTTAAGCTAAATAAGATAGTGATTCTGATGTACTAAAAACAAGCGGGGACATGTGGGTTGTCCAAGTGACACCCACCCCTTGAAGGTCAATTTTAAATGTTGTTAAGCTGAATAAGATAGTGATTCTACTGTACTTATTACAAGCGGGGACACGTGGGTTGTCCAAGTGACACCGACCCCTTGAAGGTCAATTCTAAATGTTGTTAAGCTAAATAAGATAGTGATTCTGATGTACTAAAAACAAGTGGGGACATGTGGGTTGTCCAAGTGACACCCACCCCTTGAAGGTCAATTTTAAATGTTGTTAAGCTGAATAAGATAGTGATTCTACTGTACTTATTACAAGCGGGGACATGTGGGTTGTCCAAGTGACACCCGTCCCTTGAAAGTCAATAAATTTTAGATGGTGTTAAGTTAAATAAAATAGTCATTCTTATGTACTTATTTAATATTACAAGTGGGGACGTGTGGGTCCCGCCGCTAGATGCAGGCAGCAGGGTGCAAAGAAAGTCAGTTTTTACATCCTGCCATTTGGGCAAGCTGTAGATAGCATGTACTAGCCCAGAAGTCATTTCCACTAGCCCCAAAACCCTTTTTGATTAGCAGGATTGATTACAATGCTTCTGTAATTTGAATTTCCTTAAAAAACAGCACTTGCCCGTCGAGCAAGTTAAGAACAAAAATCACTAGTCCAGTAGCAAAATCCACTAACTCCGGGCTACTGGACACAACTTTCTTTGCACGCTGGTTAGACAGGATTGGACCATGAGATGCAAGTAAAGATCCATGGAAGAAAACTTGTGTAATAATCTCAAACTGAAATTGCATGCAGGTGCTAGGAAGCTAGTTGAATGAGTGCTCATACACACCTTTCACCTATTTATAGCTAAGCCTCGATCAAAATAGTAGGGATCAAGCATCACTTGGTCCGATATTGCTGCAACAAGAGACTATGACTTTGTAACATTAAGTGAAAAAATTGTTAAAAGAGAAAAGCTGGGTCCATTAATTTACAAAAAACTGATCAGAGCCAAAAATTTAACCCCAGGTAAAAACCAACAAAAATGGCTTCAAGACAGTAACTACTCAGACCAAGAAGAACCCACCTATCTTATGGCACCATAATTTCACAGGAAGCACCAAACTGATTGACTTTCAATTTAAACTATTACATAGACACATACCAACCAATGATTTTAATTGGTTGCAAAAAAACCTTTAATGATATTGAAAAAAAATCTTTTAATTAAAGAGCTCACTGTCCACTGACTGTTAGGGATGGACCATTAGAAAAGTTATGGGGAATGGGAAATTTTTGAGCTGCATGAATATTTTCGTTAACATTTCCCTTGTATGAATTTTTTTTAGTCCAGAGCAAAAATATTTTTTTAGGGTTACTTAGCATGCATGAATTTTTCAGTTAATCTTCCCCTGTGCTTCACCCTGCCCCTATAAGTTTTCTTAATGGTCTGTCCCTTACAATACAGTAGTGCTGGAAATCGACCACAAGTTCAAAATTAAAAACAGGAAAGGTTACCTATAAAGAACACTTATAATAAACGTTATATACAAACAATGATTGTAAACAACTAATCAAAGGGTTTTGTTTATCAACTGTCTCTCATGACAGTCCACTTACATATTGATTGCATTTTTTAGACCAAATTGTTAACTGTTGGTGATTTGTGTATAACGAGCATCCCTTATAGTTGGTTCAAGCGTGGTTGAACCAAATTGTACTTACCTAGTAGTTCGTTTTTCGTGACTAAAGAGAAACATTTAACTGCTACAGGCTTTTAATTGTGTTATAATTATCAACTAAATCTTCAAAAGTTGGCAAGTTGTTTTGGTTGTATTGAAACAACCTCCACTAGATCAAACCGACTTAACGAATGTATCGAATCTTCTTCAGTTTGTACTGCAACAACTTGTAACAAAATAACAGTTTACCGATGGGATGAGGGGCATCCCTATTACTTTTACATACTGCGGATTCAGGTTGAGCGTTTAATGACGTCAGTTATCGCGTTCGTTATCACGGTTGATTGGTTGCGTTGCGAGGCAAATTGTCAGGTGTTGCTAGGCGGGGATGATATCGTTCTATCTGGGAAAAGGTGCCTTGTCTGATCGATCTGTATGTCATGGTGATTGAAATCACGATAGAATACTCCTACTATTCTACAAAAAGAATAACTCCAGTACATATTGTCGAAGAAGAGCTTATAAGCCTGGAATACAGCAAATTCGTAGAACGCATTGTGAACGAGGTGCGCCATCTCCGAAGGATGAATCCATTGCGACTTACAGTAAAGGAAGATGAAACTGTCGACGTGTAGATTTGTCCAGAAAGTATTTCAGCTTGCAGATGAACGGTTTGTTAGACAAAGGAGCTAAGAGCATCAGAATAAGAGTCTTTGAATTCGCTTCGCCCGGCCGTAGATACTGGATATTCACAGAGTAGAAAACATGGCTGAGACGGGAGCAGAGGTTCGCGAGCTAACACGGACGCATGTTTGACACTCACTAAATTTACAAATCGACCGGGAAATATCATTGTTAGTGGGTTACCTCCTCCATCAATGATTTTATCGACGATGATATGTCTTAGGTCAGAGGATTTGTTCTCCCGGGATATAAGAGCAACCGCTCTTGCTTACGGTTAACATGTTTACATTCTTTAACGCGCCTCTTCTCCGACAGAACGCTATCATCCCCCACCTAGCAACGTGTGACAATTTGGCTCGCAACGCAACCAATCAACCGTGATAACGAATGTGATAACTAAAGTCATTAAATGCTCAACCTGAATCCACAGTAAGGGTCCCCCAGGGTTTCAAATAAGACAGAATACATAAGAAAAAGAAAGAAAGAAAACGAAAGAAAAATAGGGCCATGTTACTAATTAGCAATAGATTTTTGGGTAATATAGGACTGAAAAATGCTGCAGAACATGATCTTGTATATGTTAACGGTTCATCAGTTCCAGCACAAAATACATGGGCACAATTCGCAAAGTATCCACCGCTAAAGCTTTAGAATAAGCTTAATAAATTTCCTATGTATATTGGTCTGCATTGACAAAGTGACAGTATGGACATAAATACTAACAATAATTACCTCTTTCCTTTTGAGCTTTTTCTCTTTTCCTTTAGCAGACTTTTTCTGTGGTTTATAAGAAACAAACTTAACATTAAAGGATTGGAATGGTCAGTCATGATCAGTTATATAAAGTTCAAATATTGCATTGCGCCGCAAAAGCAGTCTGAGTCGTCAGCTTTATGCACAACTTTCAAACTAAACAGGCGCCTTACCCCCATTTTAACGCACGAAGATTAACTTTTTCCTCTGATATTGCTGAAATTGAAGTTTTTGGTCACTATTATTCAATGGAGTACGGTAAAAAATCTCTAAAACTGTACACTGAATTTTCGCGCGTTTATCTCTCTATCCACCATTTTGAATACTGCTTACTCTCCAAGTGAATGCCGGGATATAACTTCCTACGCCCCAGTCTCTACGCGTCAAAAATTAAGTGACGTCAACTTGTGGGACGAAGTTCGTGAATGGTCTTTGAATTAGTTCCAATTTTTATTACGGTGCTGTATATAAATGACTTTAACCCACCAACGGAAAGTGGAACAAGGTTTCTAGGATAGCATGTCTAATGAAGAGAAGGCCATTGGGCTTATAGCTCAGGCGGAAAAGAAAGTGAAATCTTCTCAGGGGTTTTTAGGTGGATTATTTGGGTAAGTCATGATCAGTCAGTGAAATTGGTATATCTGTGTAATGATGAGTTGTTTGAGATCTTTCAGAGAGTAATCAGGTTTTATACCTTTTACAATATTTTGTCCATTTTTGTAGGGGCACTTCGAAACTGGAAGATGCGGCTGAATTGTACGTTAGTGCAGGAAACATGTTCAAGATGGCACAAAAATGGAGTGGTAGGTATCTTAAGCCGCTTGCATAGACTGTCAGCTGGGCTTTGTAAGTATCCTTACTGTGTTGCTCAGTACTGTAATATGGCTCGCACTATTGAAGGATCAAAAGTCATCAAACATACCACTTTCCAATTATTCAGTGGCGTGAGTGTTATTTACAGGGCCTCAAAGACAAACGTTTGTGTTCAGCTATATATAAATCATGACTACATACATGCAGAGGCTTGATACAGGAAGGTCATGAGGACATATCTTCCTTCACAGTACATGAAATAGATGGTTTTATATAAGCTTAAAAGTGTGGGATTCATTGGCAGAACCCCAAAATGAACACGGATTTCTTGTGTATTTTATTTTCAAGCTCAAGAATTTAATTGAAAATTAAGTCAAAATCAGAGTTGTAACTGAGCTTTTGCTGTTCCTTATCATTATACAGGGTGCAAAGAAAGTCATTTTTACAGCTTGCCGTTCGGGCAAGCTGAAGCTAGCGTTTACTAGCCCAGATGTCATTTCAACTAGCCCCAGACACTTTTTGACGAGCAGAATTGATTTCATAGTTCTTCTGTTATTCGGATTGCTCAAAAAACCTCACTTGCCCATCGGGTAAGTTAACAACAGAATTCACTAGCTCAATAGCAAAATCCACTAGCCCCGGGTTATCGGACACTACTTTCTTTGCACGCTGATTACATCATGGTTTTTATTTATTACATCTTGATTGCAGCTGCTGGTAGGGCATTTATGGAAGCAGCTCAACTACAAATCACTTTACAGTCCAAACATGAAGCAGGGCAACGTTTTGTTGATGCTGGGAACTGTTTTAAAAAGACTGATGTAGAAGGTAAGTTTGGGTATTTTCTCGTTAAACTACAAAGTTGACATCATAGCATAATGTGCTGCATCCAAGGAGGCATTGTAACAGAAGTGGTAGAAGGATTAACAGGATTTCTTACTTCTAACAATTATTTATCAATGGTAAGAAATCCTCTGATTCCTTCTTTATTCTTAGGCAAAATTCAACAAACAGTTGTTGACTAAGAATACTGTTTCTCATCAATGAAAACATGAAACTGAATTTCCTGAAACTCTGAACAAATAATTGAGGATTAAAGTTTTATTTAAAAGCACTATGTAGTGTTAAACTGTCAAGCTGTGATATATTTAAGCTGGGGATGTTACCTGACCTTGAATAGACCTTTGTCACTCGGTGACCATTTTGTCTCAGGAGATTTGAAAAGCTTTGTTTATGCACAACTAGCCTAGTAGAGAGAACGAGGCTAGCCATGCATAAACAAAGCTTTTTCAATCTCCTGAGACAAAATGGCTGTCATGTGACAAAGCTAGGTCTGTATAGTCAAGCATCTCCTTTTGGCACCTTTGTGATACAGGCACCTTTCTGTAGTGGACAATTCAGTTGCAGGTCCCATAAATACCAAACATTTTACCTTCCCTACTAGTGTCACATATACTATGATCAAGGGGAAGGGTACAGGGGTTACAGCAGGCCCCAACTAAATGCACCCATCATATCAGATAATTTTTTTTGGAATTTTAAAAGTAATGGTTTTATATTGAAGCTGTAATTATTGCTATCACAGGATTGAAGATAAAAGTTTAGTATGTACTTAATGTTATGGCAATACAGCTCTATGATTGGCTGTAAATAGTTCCAACATTAAGCACAAGTTTGAACCCATCCAAACCGCCTCCCTCCCCCACCTGGAGCTGTCCTTGTATACCTCTAAGGATACCTTCATGATGCAAGCAGCTGTCCCTACAAATTACAATGGTCCATTATTATTCTTCTATTGTTGCTTAATTGCAATGCATCTTTCTGTCAACTTATTTTTATTGTCTTTTGGTCTGTAGAAGCTGTGAGGGCTTTTGAAATGGCCATCAACATTTACACAGACATGGTATGAAAGTAAACTAATTGACACAGCTAGAAGCTTTACTTAAACCTGATCCTTGAATGACATCATCACCAATTTATACTAAACTGTACATTACAAAACCAAGACTAGTAATATTGATACTTAACAACAGTACTGAAGTACAGTTTCATAATCTGTACAAAAAAAAACTTGTGAAGGGTGGATGGGTGGGGCAGGATGGCATTGGTGGATTGCAGCAAACCAAGAAACAAAAAACTGAATCTTGAGCAAGCTACTGTATGTGACCAGAACACACTATAACCTATATCTCCCAGCTGTGTGTGAGAAAAATCAGATCCTCAGCCTCCTCCTGCAACCTATTACTTTAAAAATTTGCATTAGCATTGTTTAATACTGATCCAAAGAAAAACCATTGCAAAACAATTGAAACATACAAAATCCATTTTGTTTTATTAGTTGATCTGGAAGGGGCAGCCATGGATCCAGCTCATTGTTGAATAGTACACATTAGTTCTAATAATTGATGATAATAATTTATTATTTGCAAATTTCCCAGTAAGAATATGGGTTTGTTGCATATGTCAGATCTCTCGAGCACTGTAAATGTTTTTATCTTATCCACAATAAGTTATTTAAATTGTTTTCCCATAAAACCCAAGTATTGAAGCCTGAAAAATTGCTTTAATGGCCTTTTCTCCTTTCAAAATTTTAAAAAAATACCTTATAAATGATTGTTTTTTAGGGCCGATTCACCATGGCTGCTAAACACCACATAACTGTAGCCGAGATTTATGAGGGAAATTCTTCTGATCTTGAAAAGGTGAGAAATTATTAACAAAGGTTGCAAGAGGCAATGAGTTTGAAGTGATTAATACTTGGTGGAAGGCTTTTAGCAGCGTGCAAAGAACGTTGTTTCCGATAGCCTGGGGCTAGTGGATTTTGCTATCGGGCTAGTGATTTTTGTTCTTAACTTACCCAATGGGCAAGTGCTGTTTTTTGGGGAAATTCAAATTACTGAAGTATTGTAATCAATCCTGTTAATTATAAAGGGTTTTGGGGATAGTTGAAATGACTTGTGGGCTAGTACATGCTAGCTACAGCTTGCCCAAATGGCAGGCCGTAAAACTGACTTTCCTTACACCCTGCTTTTAGCCTCAGCAGTTAACATCCTCGTTGATCCTCCATTATTCTTCAGATCATACATCGCCTTGTCCAGTAAATATTGCTAAGTAATCCACTAGAAAATAACATTATTATTACCACCAAAAAGGGACATACACTGTATTCACCTGCTTTTTTTCTTCAGGCAATATTTCATTACGAACAAGCTGCTCAGTATTACAGAGGAGAAGAATCAAATAGGTACATGAAACAAATTTTATTTCTACTTAATTCAGATCTACTAAGAAGAAATTATATCATTTATTGTCAGCTCTCACTGTTGTCTAATGCCTGTGTTAAACACCTTTTTCTTAATGTGCTTGAGGCATCAACTTGAACACTTCCCCAAAGAAATACCAGTGTTAAATCATGCCCTCCCTATGTATCTATTATGTCTTTCATGGGAAGTGGGGAATTATACATGTAAAAAGGCCAGAATTTAAAGTTCCTTTGATTGGTCCAGTCACAATACATCTGACACAGTTCTGTTCTGATTGGCTGAAGATTAGGTTTGATTTCCCACAAGATTACAATACATAGTTAAAATACTCTCCCTGGGTTAAGTTTTGTTTTGTTTTGATAATAATATGGAAGTGAAGCTCCACCTGATATCACTCCATCACAAAAAAAAGCTTGAGCTAGTTTTTCAAAAAAATGATAACTGAACATAGCCATTGTTTTGATTTCCCTAAATACAAAAAGATTTGGTAGCAGACTTTTTTTGGGCCTTGTTCAATTTGAGTGCTGACTTTGACAGGTCAACCACCTGGACCTTAATTCATTTTAAGTGGGGGGAATTGTTTGTCAGCTCATGAAGAAAAATAAACTGTATCAGGTGTTTTTTTTCCACCTCTCTTCTCAACCAAAAAAGGTACAGCTGATTACAGGTTAAGGAAACACCAACAAGCCTTTCTATTTTTGAATACCTTCATGCTGATTGATCCATGCTACCGGTACTATCCTTTTGCTGATCAGGACTTGTTCACAGTTTTCCACCCAATAAGTTATTGCAGCATTTTATGTTGTAGTGTTCCATGAGTAACATTATTAACCAAACCTATTGTAATTTTTATTGTCATCTGGTCGTGATGTTATTGTTCTTTTTAACTGCAGTTCAGCAAACAAGTGCCTTTTGAAAGTAGCTATGTACTCAGCCCAGATGGAAGAGTATGCTAAGGCTCTAGAGATATATGAACAGGTTTGTTTGTGTTTTTGAAAACAAGAAGAGGGAGTTTGAGATCTGTTGACAGCGATGGCAGCCATAATAATGCTCAAAAACTGAATTTTCATTCTTTTAATCTCTATCACAATTATCCTAACTCGTTTATTTTTTCAAATGCAAGGAAACTCTTTTGGAGTTAATTCCCTAATATTATTACTGGTACCATATTTAAGTTCAGAAAGAGAAAGACAATTTCATATTTCACTTGTTCATGTCCTCATTAAAATGTGAAACCAGGCATTCTCATGTCATAGCCGGGCAGTGACAGCTAAAAACTTGCAAAAAGCCTGCTGAGTGTGCAGGGTTGTTATTTTGTCTATTCAACCTATTGCATTTTTGAAGTTCTCGTTGCTGTCACCATCATGCCATCTGAAACTCACAATGTTACCCACCTCACACAAGCCAAGTCAGTGGTAAGTTGAACTTAATTACAGGAAAATACTTGGTGCTCCCTATTTATTGGTATCTCTTTAAACATGAGATATTCCAAGTATTTATGGTCTGAAATACAATACCCTTGACTCTTTGTAGCAGGAGTATACAGTTTTTGTTGGATGTTGCAATGCTTTCTTTACATAAATACAATGAACTACGCATACTAGCAAATCTGATCGGGAAAGGCTTGTGGCTGACTGTAGCATTTTCCAAATAATTCACAAGTCACTGGCTGATGTTTGGTTTATTGTCGAGCAAAGACCAATATTATTCCTCGCGTATTGCAGGCTTTTGACCTACTGTATAATGGCATCCTCAAATTGAACACATTTTGCTCCAGCGATCTTTACTTTGTTCATAGAGAGAGGGGACTTTCAGTATTTTTAATTGCCTTGTACAAGTGCAATGTTGTGTGTATAAACAACCTTTTCCCAGTTGTTCAAATTTTGGATAACACCATCCATCAGATAAATCACTATCCAGTGAATAACGCAATATTATTATATGGAGGAGAGTGTTTTACTGGGAACTATGCGTATTTTCCGTATGTCACCTTTGTGAGTGTCGTATCGTTCAATGACGTCACGATTCCCGCCTTTTGCTTTTGTTGAATTGGTTTCTCCATATAATAAAAAGAACATTACACGTTGGCTCGAAGATATGTATTTTATGTTCTCGTGGCAAGAACAATATCTCACTCGTTCGCTTCGCTCACTCGTGAGATATTGTTCTTGCCACGAGAACATAAAATTCATATCTTCTCGCCACTGTGTAATATCCTCCATATATTGGTTTGCCTTATAGTGGTCCACTGGATATCCAGTGTCTGAACAACCGAGGCCTGGTCATAGATGAATAAAATCATTATTTTGTGCGTCAAAACTAACTGGATTGTGTCATTTAAAACCTACAGGTTGCTGCTGATGCTATTGAGAGTTCATTACTAAAGTACAGTGCTAAAGAGTATTTCTTCAAGGCAGCCCTCTGCCACATGTGCATTGATATAGTTGAGGCCCAGAGAGCAGTTGATAAGTACTGCGATATGTACCCAGCATTCCAAGACACCAGGGAAAGTAAACTTCTTAGGGTAAGTATTAAGCATGCGCAAGGTGTTTGCATTCGTACAACTGGCATGGTCTGCCATTTGCACATGGTTAGCTTGTTGTGCAGATTTAATTTACGGTTAGTAACACCAATATCCATGTTCTGGGCCCCAGCGGACTCAGCAAATTACCAGAAGCACATTTTGAATTTCCTCTCATCTTGATTGGAAATATGACAGTGGCATTTTTAACAGGCCAATCATGGCACATTCTCAAATCCTGGTACACAGTTGGGGGCCCAGAACAAGGATTTTAGTGCTGTTTCGCGGACGGACTAAACCAGAGTTAAGTTTGGTCTGTGGTGCTGGCTAGTACATGGTCATTCAAGCCACATGAAGATCGATAATCGATAATTTCTTAGTACAGCCCAGTGTGGGAGGGGAAGGTGAGAGGGGAAGGTGGATTTGAAGGAGGTATTTATTTTTAAAGAATCTCCATTTTTTTGGTGTGGTCAAGAGTAGAATGAGTGAACTCACTGTGTCGGATGATCAGGAATCATTTCCTAAGTCTTCCTTTTGTGTCAGCCTGGTAGCTCAGCAATTGAGAATGGAGGCGTATATTTTTTAAATTTATATTGCAATAGGGAGGCCATAGATTTTTAGTGCCACTGTCCCACTGTTCCCGATTATTTATGGTGGTAGTAAAATAATGATTGGTATTCTAAAACCGTGTGGTTTGGTCGTGCTGAGGGGATTGAACCACTGCATCCCACTCTCCAGCCTTTTCCAATATTGAGCTAACCCTAATGCTGATACTCCTTAAATGAGATAAAGTCAATCTAGAATGCTTTATTATACAGCCATTAAGGGGTGAGCATGTGGTAAATTTCTCACAGAATGCCTGCTCCGCTATTTTTTTTTTCAGACTCTTCTTGAAGCTAAAGAAGAAGAGAATGTAGAATCTTTTACGGAAGCCGTAAGTACTCTTTCACTGAAAGGAAAATCTCTTAACGAAAAGAATAGATGGTAGCTGTAAAATATATAATCCCTATCGCCATTAGAGAGCACAAAATTATTTGTATGAGTCACTCAAAAAAAAATTCCCGGGATATGTGGGTACCATTAAACCATCCTTTGGTGCTTTGAACAGGCCCAAAATCATTTAAGCTTTTTACTCCGACAAAGGGCTACTGCTTAAATCATCAGCTCTTAGAGGAGCTGTGCCACAAAATTAAACTAAACTTAACCCTTACCAACATCAATTTTCTCCTAACGATATCCATACACTTTCAAGAGATACGGTTTTGAGAATTGGTAAAGTGATCACCAAAGTGAAATTGCATTGATCTTTTATAAAATTCTCTCAACCCTTTCTTTAAAGAAATGTATGGAGGTCAGTTTGGAGAATTTGTATGTGGATATTGGGGCTTAAAGGGTTTACCAGTAGGAACTGCCTCCAAATTGAGTGAAACATAAAAATAAACTAGTCTAAACATTAAAAGAAGGTATAAATAACAAGTCGAATACAAAAGATGACACGGGTGGACAAAGCCGGAAAACGGATTTCAATTGTGGGTTTTGAAAAGTTGTTAGCCTAACACTTTTTTAAAGTTTTTTGCTTTTTGTAACGTTTGATATAATACTTGGAAGGCATATTTGTTGGACAAGAAGCTGTAATTTTACCATCAATCATAACTATAACAAAATTCTCAAATCTGATTGGCTATTGGCTATCAACTGTCCTGATTTATAATTTATGACTCGTGATTTCAACAAATCGAACTAACGCTACGCGGTAGTCCGATTTTGTTAATCAGTCGTATGATTGCAGACCGAATTGGACTCCACTCAGTCCTATTACCATTATTTACATTTGTCAAGTACTTTCTTCGCAAGTATTCGATTCCATATTGCATAAGGAAAAGTACCCTGTAGTTGGCAATATTTACAAAGTGAACTAGACAGCCGACGGTGGCAGTACAGCCCCTTTAAATCATTTACGTTAGGGAATTAACTTTATCAAATTGCATACCAATATCCCGGACCAATATCATTCACAAAGGATTCGAAGACGGAGAAAGAGCGCGAAGCGTGAGAAAAAAAGGAAGGAACTAACGTCTATTTTCTCCTTTCCCCGCCTAACCCCGTTGCGTTGCGGTCAATAAATCCCCCCCGGTTTTTATTTTCTTACGCGCGCTGAACGATCTCCAAGGAGAAAATCAAGATAGAGGAACTGTAAACAAACTAGGGAATTCGCTGTTATTATGGAACGTTAAGATACTGTCAATGAGATACATTATCGTTACGAATTTTTGTCCATGATTGAAGCATACTACCTTTCTCTATTTTAATCAGTTCAGGGGGTATATTCATTTCATGTTATACCAGGTCAGTGCGACAATCTTTTCACACACTGTTTCCTTTTGTTTCCAGGTTAAGGAATATGACTCGATTTCTAGACTGGACCAATGGTTGACCACTATTCTCTTACGGATCAAGAAAGGAATGAACGAGGAGCCTGACTTGACATAAGCAACTGCGCTGTAAACTGAAATAATGCTATGTTTTATGTCGCTAGTTTTTCGATAGTTTCTAGTCTAAGTCAAGGAAAATGTTATTATAACGACGCAAGAACTTGTGTTGAACCTCTTTCTCTATGATGGCAATAATAATTGAGTGTTTCCAATTGAACAGTCAAGAAAATACTTCACAGAATCCATTTTACGGGGTCACTGAACGGCTCACACAATTGGCTGTGAAAACAGTAGGATAACCACACAAACAATAACCCAAAACATCAACACAAAAGGCAATATTGTTTTAGACGACCACTTAAATTAGAGGTTCTGTTGAGTTACTGAACTACTCATTTTACGACCAATACAGTCAACTCTCTCGCAAGAGATACCTAGCGTTCATTGGCCCTAGCCTGCGTTGCAGACATTCTAAACCGCTGGTCTACACGATGTGTGAGCCGGTTGTAACGCAGGCACAATTAGTCCCTGCTGTGTTTCAGTCGTTTTTTTTCGACTAGGGAGCTTTAGCATCAACGACGGCAACGGCAGCAAGAACGTAGAATTCGCGTTCTTTAAAACTTTATGACGTTTATTCCAATTCCCTTGGGATTAAGTTTAGAAAGAGAAAGAAAAATTCGTCGCCGCTTGTTTACGTCCTCCATAAAGTCAAAATTAAATATTTTCACGTCGTAGTCGTGCAGTGACGGCAAAGAAATGAACGAAAAAGCGTGCTGCACGTGCAGAGTTGTTGTATTGCTCAACAAACCTTTTGCTTTTTTCGAGTGACATCCTCGTCGCCGTCGCCGTCGTCGTTGATAAAGCTCCCTCTTAAGGCGGATACCTCCCAAAGACGGGCGGACGGTCGCAGGGTGTACGTCTTTGAGAGACTTGATTTTAAAGAACAAGAACGTTGCTATAACAATTATTTAAGATGATATTTTAAGCGCTTTCCACCTACAAGTCGTCAAACCTACGCGACGAGACCGCAAGGTCATGTGAGTAAATGCGAATTCTTCATTAGCCTGAGTATGTGTCATGCTTTTCTGGAAGTAAACGAACCTATTAATTATTTTAGCAGTTAGATACACTACTAACATGGTATACCAACAAAGGTGGTATTTGACCTGTAGCTGTCACGATTGACCAGTCTACGATCAGTTCCGTTCAGATGCGTTTTGCGACCGTAGTTTTAATTATTGCAGCTTCAATTTACATGCAAGACAATTTGCCATGCCTCTTAACTCTCTTGCACCCGAATAATACCAACTGAAATCTTTTATAGCTGGTTATATGCGAGGGGTACCCCCTCTCACCCAAAGTAGGGTAAGGTAAGGTTACGCCTTTATTTAAAGAGGGTAAACACGTGACATTTTTGATAAAACTGATAAACTTGTGGCCCTCAAAAACTGGGCCAAGTTAATTTTCACAAAGACTTCTGGGATCGCTACTGGGACGCGCCGGTCAGCTATTGGCCAATTTTTCCTGTTCCCAGTAATATTCCCAGAATTCTTTGCAAAGTTAACTCGGCATAGTTTGTCTTATCGTTTCTAAAGTGGCGAATAGAATATATCCCCATTTCGATACATTATCATCATTGATTCTTTAAGAATGGTAAAAATAAATGGCTTAAAACGTTGCACTTTAGTGTAATAAGTTATTCAATTATTTCTTCCGACGGCACAACTGATTAACTGTATAGTGGCAATGTAATGTTTTTACGTTAAATGACAATCGACAAAAACTCTCACGGCTACGTCGCTATGACGAGTACCGGAACCGAGGGGGGAAGAAAAAGAACGCTATCTGGGGAAGGCTAAAGTACTCCCGGGTTCGAGTCTCGCTCCGGCTTAACTCCTTCTCCACCCGCTGGACCGCTGCTGAATCGTGCTGGGTATTTGTAAAGTGCTGTCGGTTCCCATGATGGGGAATTTTCATCAAAGGTCTGCCCCGCCCGGGGTGGGGAATTTGTCAATTATAATTTTCTTTCTTTCCTTTATGATTGGTTTGGTTCTTCCGCTTCCGCTAGCGACTCCAGCAAACAAATTTTCACTTGGTCGTAAACGACGGAGTCGTAAGCGGAATAGGTCTACCGCCTTTAGACCTTTCCACGGTTTTTCTCAACTTTTGACATGAACAAGTTGGGGAGAATCCGTCGACTAAAAGTGATTTGCTGTAAACTAAGAAAGATATACATAGCTCCTTAAACTCCCGAAATTTTATTTTTTATTGTTTGTATCATAAAAACATCTGCAAACTTTCGAAACTTTGCGGAGTTATATATCGCTTAACACGGATATATTTTAACAGACAGCTTTATAGATTCTATTAAGACCAGGTTACGAGAACGAGATTTTCCCAATACTAAGTAGTGCACGGGCGCGGGCCAACGTCTTTTTGGCGGAAAATTGTGGCAGCCATCGTCAGTCTACTACGGGAGAGGGCATGATCTCAGGCTAGCCTGAAACTGGTTAGCCTGTACACAGACGTTGTTTTATTTTTCGAGCGCGAAGCGCGAAAAAGAAAAATAAAGACCCGCGGTTAATATTTTGTCACGCGCGCTCGAACGACTTTAAAAAGAAAATAGAGAGGTAGCCTGAATTTCATCCGATTACTTCGAGTCGTTATTACTCCCTCAGTAACTCCCTCAGTTGTTGAGAGGAGAAAACGACTCGAAGCAATTGGATGAATTTCAGGCTAATAGAGAGGGTCTATGAACAGGTTAGAAACTGGTATCAAAGATGGCTTTGAAGAAATGGAACACGAATTTCCGCTTTTCAGATGTTCCGTTGCTCCCGGAAATTTTCCGCTGGATCGCCCCAAACTGAGGCGTATTCCATTTACTTTCCAACCGGATTTTCCGGAAACTTTTTTTACAAAACAACAACCAACGGTACCCGCCAATAGGCTAAAAAATTTGGCCGTAATGATGTTTTTTTTTTTTACAAGAAAATGTATGGCCGTAATAACGAGGTGACCGTATTACCGAGGTGGTTGTAAGGCGGGGTTTCGGTAGCCTCCCACGCAGGCGTTTTTAGGGAAGGAATGAAAAACGAGCTCCCCTAAAAACGCCTGCGTGGGAGGCTAGGGTTTCGGCTGTACAATGAAGCTTTCCGAGGTGTCTATTTTAGAGAACAGGCGAGAAAACGTAAAATTAAATGTCGTCCTCTATCCTCGAATCTAAAGCTCTCTAATATAAGTGTATAAAAGTATACGTCCTTAGTACAAAAAATACCACAAAAAAGGCACTTCTCGAAGAACCCGTGGATGTACCTGCCACTGCCATTACGAGGAACTGAACGGGATTTCTCAAGTTTAAAATTTCCGTCGGTCCAGTTAAGAAATCAGCAATACCCGATTTCCGTAAACGGTTGAAGGTAGATGAGTTTTCACTTGGGCCGTTAGGGCGAAATTTGTTTCGTTCAGTTCCTATAGAGAGAAATAAGAAAATAAAGCCAGACCGTTCCAAAGACCATATCAGGCTTGTTTCCTGCCGATTCTACTCAACCTTCGTTCAAACGCCATGTCCTCTTCAGTCCACCAATCATATCACATGGTTGATTGACCGAGGCGCCAAGGCGACAGAAAAAGGCGGGAAAAATTGCGCCTAGCGCAAGCTGAAGTGTCAAATGTCATATCTCACAAGACGCACGCGGATTGTTTTTGGAATGCAATATGGCGCATTGGGCTGTGTTTCACACTGGAAAATACAGCTGTCCTTCTTCTCACCTCACTAGTAAACAGAGATTTTGAACCTTCAGCTGCTTCAGTCGGTGAGTATCAGTATCTGAACGCCTGGAAGAGGCTAATAATTGTTTACAGAAAAAGCTTCTGTCTCGATCTCACGTGCACTAATCGACTTTACGGCTATCAATATAGGTCTAAGCTTGCTCTGCTTTTTGCCAGTGGGAAAGGGTTAGAAAGGCGTACAATTTCTCGTTCTTCTTAGGAGAGTAACGGTTGGGGAGGATTTTTTGCTACACGATTTCCTGTTCTTATGTTTGTATCAGTACTCAAAACGGCCCACAAACGCTTGTGTATCGACTATCAATTTTGGCGATGGAGCGACCTGCGACATAGAAACCAGGGGCCGATTAATAAAACTTTTACAAGTATAATTTACAAGTGTGCCCATTGTTTGGTGTCTGAAAACAATAGCTACACTTGTAAGGTACACTTGTAGTACTTTTATTTGATCCCAGTACTGATGGTATACCAGGGAGCTTAAAGTAGCCAGGAAGGTGACGGCAGTGAAAATGTCAGGGAAATGTTATGGCCCGCCCCCCCCGGTCTACTGCGGAGCATTTGCCCGCCTTGTCAGTCCCGGGGGTGGGGCATTTGCAAAATTGCACTACCCTGGTGCCAGGCATTTGCCAACCCTGGGGCTATTCCCGAGCTTTTGACACACACGTGGTTTCCTATCAGAATATAACTGCACAGAAGGTTTTACTGGAAGAAAAGCAGATTGACTTATCTGTCAAGGACAGGAATAAACTGAAGAGGGTTATAAAGACATGTTCTTGATTTTATGCATGTAATTCTTCATTGCTTATCAAGCCATAATTACATAGCGAAATTGGAGCTATCAATGTGAATTAACATGTTTTGGTTATTGAATCAAATTTGTGTTGATATTATTTGAAGAACATCCTTTCATATTTATAAAACTTTTCATAACATATAACTTTACAGCACTCTATTAATTTTAATGTGAGTAATTTTATATCAATACTAAAACCATAAACTGGTGCTTGTCGTCACAGCATGAAGTCTTATTAGAATCCTAACGCCATTACAAAGGAAGACGTTAATTGAAACAAAAAATTGCACATTAAAATGCTTAAAATGGCACTATTCGACTGTGCGATCAATGAAAAATGTTGCAGCGTTAACGGAGGACGAGGCATTTGCCCTCTTTTTTCGTCCCCACCCTGGGGGATTTAAATCCCCTTCCCCTTTACTTTCAAACACCTGCCATGCAGGCTACCTTAGTGGTGGTGTTGATTCACTGTATTCTTTTGGAATTTTTGTTTCAAGTCACTTGGTGATTGGAAGTTAGACAAGTTCATCAGTGAAATGACCACACAATAGATTTCGAACTACTGACAGGAAACGGGAGAAAAGATTACATGTCAAGTAAGTCAATTTATTTTGAATTGTTTTGTTACTACATTTGTTAGATGGCACTTATCAGTCTAGCCTGTGAGCAAACTCTCCAGGGTGCTCTGGCGGCAGGGCGAAAAAGGAACAAGCTTGCAGTCATGCTTCAGGAATTTGAATGTCTGCATAGAAAAAGTTGATGAAATTGCTGATTGGGGGAGATTAAATTTGGTAATGACGTCATTACTGTGACATGGTAGGCCAGACACCTTCATGTGTCCAGTTTTCATGTGTTCAGTTTACATATTTCTCTAACTATGAAGATCTCTCTCTGGAATTTTACTCTTTTAAATTGCTTATAGTGTTATTTGTGCTATTAACTTCTTTGTAGTGAACAAAACATGGCTCACAGTAGGGTAAATTGGCAGAGGAAAATACTTGTAATTTTTAGCAACTCATGCAACTGTCAATTTATCTAGTTCGGTGTTCCTGTTCTTTTTGATGTCTGAATAAGCAGAAGAAGAGAGACCAAGGTTCAAAATACCAGCGTGCCAATGGCAGGCAAAACTTTAGGTCTGGCAGGCGAAAATAACTAATGAACTGGACTGCTAGTCTGGTTTTGTGACATTTTCTTTTCCTCTTACCATGCTTGTTTACCCACCATTTCTTTCCACAAATCAATCATGCCCTTTGAAAAATACCACTATAAGGTCCTCGACTGAATCTCATGCATAAAGTTTGCAGGAGCATAATGGTTTGCAATTTTTTTCAGTAATTTAACTCAGCATTCTCCAGGGTTTACGGTCAAGTCGCCAGAAAGTCATCTTGCCCGATACCAGAGTTATGTCACTTAACATCCTATAAACTGCACTGTAAGAGTTAATAATACGTATTCAAGGAAATACGTTAAAAAATTTTCAATTTTCCTGTGTGTTTGCAACCTGGGAGAAGGGAGGTACTTCCTTATAAGAGGCTAATAGGGATGTGTTGCTGGATGGGGTCGCATTCTCATCACTAGATTGACTATAGGGGGGTTACATTTTCCTTAGGGTTACTAGAATGGGGTTGCACATATTCGGATGTTTTGGGGTAAGACATGAGTTCTTCATATTAATTTATGGTTAGCAAACATACTAGAATGTTTGCACTGCAGGTGAAAAGTAAAGTGTTCTTCATTCAATTTAAAAAAAAAATGGGTCAATTCGTAAAAATAGAAAGTGACAAAGTTGGGATCATGAAAATTACATATTCACCCAAAAGTGACTAAGATGGGGTCTATAATTGGCCAAAGAATAGTGGTTTAGGGGCACTGAGAGGCCAGCGGCACATACCCAGCAAAAATTAATGCAAGTACCCCCAGGGTTTGCAATCATAGTGCCCAAAGAGCGTACGCATATTTTGATTGATTGATTGATTGCACACACATTCTTGTCCTCCTCAAAAACATAGTGCAAAAGTTTGCATTTAGACCACAAGATACTTCATGGTTTTGATCAATCGAGTGCAACTTTTGGTGCATTTTGATACCTTTTAATGATCACGCAACAGGGTTATGGTTTAGATCACCAAATAATCTGTGTGATGTACTAAGTATCAGGAAAAGTCAAAACATTTAAATTTTGGCGACATGAATCCACTTGCTGAAAATATGATTTGTAAACACAAAAGTAAAGTAAATAATAAAAATAGATGGCAGATTTTGGCGCTTTGTTATTAACACAAAATGAAATAAACAAGCACGACAAATAGCAGGCCGCTTGCTTCTTGAATTTCTGATTACCAACCTTTTTCCTTGTAGTGAAATACTTCCGATTTTGAGTCATCTACCATGTCTACTGTGATTGAACAATTTTAGTGAGTGTCAAGTGCTAAGTTTTGTTTGATTGGAACCTTTGATTCTCTCTTTGAAGAAATGCTGGCAAAAGGTGAAAAAAGGTGAAAATGGTACTTCTTACAAGTACTGAGAGAGTAGTGGGTAAACGGTTTGAAAATTATGATATGCATGCATGTGATTTGGGTTTGTAGGATACTTTGTTTTATTTCATGAATTTCTTCATCTTTGCGTCAGCCAACAAAAAAAAAATCAATGGAATTCCTACTGAAAATAAAGACAATATGATTTCATCAATAGCAAAGATGTCAGAAGGTGGCAGGCCAAAAAATAAATGACAGGTTAAAATTTGTAAGCCTTGCCAAAAAGGCAGGCTAGAATTTTTTTCTATTTCAAGCCAATTGGAGACACAATTAGTTGTTCAGGACTTCCTCGTTTCAAAACACTAATGGGAGGAACAATATTTTGAGTTCAAGTTAGGTTAATTGGTCTAAGCTTTCTAGACCATCCACAAATCTTGCAAAGTATCTTGTCTCAAAAATTAATATATTGCCTTAGCAGTGGTTTGCCCTTTTTTCAGTATTCTTCTCTTGACCTGGTACCCTCAACAACCTAAAGAGTGAACTGAGAACTTGACAATTTTCTAGTGGTCCCTCTTTTTTCTCAGTGGCCGTACTTTCAGGGCTTTGTCTGCTAGTGGGAAATTTATCTGCAACGCGCTTTTCTTATGTTTCTTTACATTCGATGCTCATTTCCGCTCCACACAGATTTGCTGAAATCTGAAAGCTCAGTCAACGGAGAGTCACAGGGGGCACTGGAGGCTGGATTCCAGTCCCTGAGACATGAGCGCTAGTTCTCTGTCCTTTTTTGCTCTGCTGCCAAAACGCCCCACAGAGCTTGCTCGCAGGCTATTATCATTCCTACCCTTTGGGATGATCAAATTGAAACAAAACAATAGTGAAATCCTTTCAACATATATATTTATTCTCAGCTCTTGTACGATATGTTTTAAGAACATTCAATATTGAGAGTTTTGAAAAATTCGTTGTTAAAAACTATTCCCTATCAGCTTTGCGCCAAAGTTCTAATGCTTCCTTTTTGCTGGGTACATTATTGTTCACCCTACTGATAAAACCACATGTTTGTGCTACAAGAAGAATGTTTTACAACACCACTATTAAAATAATATAATATTAGTTGTATTTCCAACAACAGTCTCTACTTGACATAGTGCAACTTAACTTAAATGGAATAAGTTATTTTAAAAATCTCTACCTTGGGAAAGCTCTTGAGTAACCTACTTAAAATAAAATACACCTGCATAATACATATTATGATGCTTAGAATAGTATCTTATATACACCTAACTTGGATTTTTGTAACCTCTAGCAAGATTCTTTCAGCCTTAAGGTAAATACTGTTTATCAGCATAAATACAACCTCTGACTTGAAATAAAGTGAAACACTTGCTCTGAGAATTTCTGAATACAAGCACTGGATTTGTATTTATTTTATTCACTCACTCTCTGGGAATTTTATAGAGGTGAGTTATAATTGAATAGAACTAATTTCAAAATTATTGCTTACTTAACTCATCAAATGAACAGCAATATTATTGTTGATACATTTTGCAAATCCAAGATGGTATCAGAATAACATCATGCTCATGAATCATGCTCATGGTACCTGGTGAAATATGGTTGATGACAACACTTAAAAAACCACAAGCAGTCTGACCCCATTATTGCTGTGTGCTTTGTTGCTATAAGTATAATGATGTGGAGAATTGCACTAACTCATTCATAAGAATTCCATAAGCTTTACTCAGTAGGGCTAAGTTATTCAGTATTGCAGTTAATGCTTCAGTTTCATTTAATGTATCCAGAAGGAGACGCAGAGTTTAATCACCAGATGAAACATTGAGAACAGAGTTGAAAATATGACGTGCAGTGGAGTATTTTTAACAAACTTCAAGGTGTTTCATCCGGTGAAGAAACACGTGTCAAATGCTTGATATTGCTTCTGAAACAAAATGATTTTAGAGGGAGAAATTAAGGATGCAAAAATGAGCAGTTTTTCATCTGATTTCCAAACACTCATTAAACATTAATTTCCTTTGTATTTTCTTTATGAATTGTTAATGAGTTTTGAAAAGTATAATATCATATGTAAGGATATGATAATAATAATAATAATAAAGGATAATTTCTATTTCTTTTTGGGGATGAAAACACCGAACACTTGCTTTTCTTTCAGTTTTGTGGCAAAGAATGTTTCACACAGTTCATATGTAAACAAAATTATTCACCTCTACTTTGCACTGTAGCACATCAGCCTTGTTAGTTTAAAGGCTGTTAATTTTTTTAAAGTTTATAAAGTTTGTTGGTTTTCTAGTATCAAAACAAAACTGGACAATTTGGTAAGTGCAAGTAGATCCTCCATTAAAAATGTTCAAAACTAGTTTGAAAAACGTCTCTAATTAAAAAAAAAACCACCTTCTCTGCTCAATATATTAGGGCCAGCCCTATTCAATACTTCATGTTTCAAACAATGAAAGCTTAGGCTGCAAAAATATTTCTTTCCCTGCAGTAGCAGCTTAACAAATAATAAATTACATAGAAATAACATAAATAGAGGAAAGACAATAATATTATTTTCCCATTATTGCTGGCAACAAAAGATTGTTTCATTACCTCATCAACTTGACTTTGCGAAGTACAAGTGTTGCAAAAAATTCATTTAACAAGGTAATTAACCACTTTCCTTACATGTAAAAATATGGTCAATACTGCCTAATACTGTAAGTTTCATAATGTCCAGCAAACTAAGCATTTTAAGACCTTAATACAGCATGTTGATAAAAGAATTTCTTTCTTTCATGCTTTGCTTTTCTGGTGGTTGCCACAATAGGAGATCAATAATATTGAAGGGTACAGTAGAAAAGAGGCAAAAGTGGGGATTTTCCCTGGAAAACCAGATCATTTGAGGTTAGCTCAAATTTGTCTTGTCTGGTGCATTAAAACAAAATGCTATAAATGCCATGAATTTGTGTACTCCTAGTTGCTTAAAACTGACCCAAATCAAGTGGTCAATTGCTAATTTACTTAATCAGCTCCTACACTGGCCAGGGTTAGGAATTTTTCCTGGCTGAAAGAAAATGCACATTCCACTTGGACTGTCCCAACTTAACTTTACACTTTCATATGATTCAAAGACAAAACAACAAGATGTGTAATTTCTGGCAAAATTTTCTGTTTCTCAGCTGAAGTTTAAAAAAAGTTTACTCAGTTGGCTGACACAATTATTGAGTTTTAACCTACAAGTACAACAATTTTAGCAGTGAGTGAAAAGATTTTAGCGAGGAGTGAAAAGATATTTTGTTATGATTTGTTGCTAGTACTAGTGCGTTGTCAACGTGCCAGTAATACGTATCAGGAGTAGTATTGATTTCCAGGGAAAATCATCACCCACATTTCTTTTCCACAATGCCCTCATAACAATAATGATAATAAAGAATCATAATAACATGAGAACAATTTATTTGTAAAAGTAAATTTGAACCTATTTGTATGCTCATTTGTGGTATGCTACTCATTACTATAAAGAGCAGTTGGTTATATGTCCGCACCTTCTAACCATAAAAAGTAAAAAACAACTTTTAAGTGTTACTAGCCAGTAATAAATATTAAACTACCCTACAAGAAGAGGTTTCTTTCCAGCATTGTCTATAGCATTTATGAACCTCAAGTTGTTTGCATTGCTGACATTCACATAGTAACTACACTTGAATGTCAGCGATTTGAACAACTTCCTAAATGCTAAAAACCACACCAGGAAGAAACCTCTGACTAGCAAAAATTAAGGGCATGGCCCTGCCAACAACTTGCAATGATTGACAAACAGCTGTTACAGCTAAGACAACAGAAACCAGGAATAGATTCTAAATTTCTAGCGACAGAGAAGCAATAATTCAGCACTTGCATATAAATGAAAGATTTTTTTGGAAAACGTTTCACCACCAGTACATGGTGAAAATCCCATTGCTGAGTGTTGAAATGCCAGTTCAAAAACTTTGGCTACACGTACAATTTTCACTGCATGCTGGCAATTCAGTATTTTAATTAGAAAATTACAGGAGCACAGTGACATTTGAAATAAAGTTGATTGTCTCTATTAAAGCGATTTGGGTTTCAATAAAGCTTTTATTAAGTCCTTGGCATTGTTGGATGTTTAAAATCGCTTCTGGTTTCAAGGCATACATGCTATCATTTGGCATGAATGCACAACCTGTACATGGTTGACAGGGATCACAGAGATTTTATTTAATGGTAATGGTATCTAAAAGTCCAGAAAAGGACTACTTTCATTAACCAGTTACAGTCAAACCTCCACCAACAGCCACCTCCCTACAATGGCAACGGCCAGTTTTTTCAGGGACTGATGAAAAAGTCTGGAATGCTCACGAAATTTGATCTATAAGGTGCATTGATGATTAATTGCAGCATCGTATTTTGATTGTGTTTCAATGATACTGCTGCAGTAAGCATAAATTGTCCATGATACTTGTTTGTTTTGTCACGTTAACATTTTGATTCAAAACATTATTCAAGTATTTTTGTGTATTTTGATCTCTTTGTACATTATTTATGATTGGATTAACATTATGCGATACAGTAAGCACGAACTTAGCACCATAAACATGTTGCTCCCCCCTGAAAGAAATTTGCCATATAACACCCCTACCTCCACAAAACGGCCACCTCTCCACAACGGCCACTTTCTTCTGTCCCCAAGGGGGCAGTTGAAGAGAGGTTCGACTGTACTAACATCTAACTGATTTGGTATCTTTGGTATCCTGAAGGTGTCTGTTATAGCTTTACATGCAACTCACTGACTTGGGAATATCTCTGTTTCTGAATCTAAAATATGATTTCTTCTAACTTTTCAAAATAATAAAACTAACTATTATAATAATTCTGAAAAGAGCATTATAAATGGGTGTTTGCAGTTCAGAAATATTAATTTTTTTTGAAACACTACCTTCAAAACGGTTTGTTGAAAATACAAAGATACACAAGCAAGCTTTTGTATCAAAGATATTGTCAGCCTAGATGGAGCATTAGCTACCTTTGAGAGCCTAAAAGGATACATCAATGTGGCAGTATGTTTGTAAAGAGGATAGTACGATGTACAGTACCCAAAGGAAAGCCATGAAAAGTGATGTGGGGAGTTTGAAGCTCTTCGTACCACCAAGTTCTCCTCCAACCTTTTTATTTCTCCGTAGCATCATTAATGCTATAGCAACGACAGCTGTACAACAGAAAATTACTACAGAGAAACCAAGGGACCCTGCCTCGACTTTAAACTTCTCGCCCTGGGCTTTTTTGGCTATTGCTGCTATTGACCAAGCAACACCCAGTCCTAGGAAGACATTCACAGAATTGCTTCCAGTGACATTGCCAATAGATGAATCAGCATACTCATCACCAACAGCAGCTACTTTGCTTGCAAATGTATCTGTAGATCAACAAAACAAAGGCCATTAACAACAGTAGAGGTGGTCTCCTTAATGACAAGGCTACAACATAGGATATATTTAACCTTGTGTGTGTCAATCATTCATTGTGCTGTATGCTGCAGCTTGATCAGGCGGTGCTTTTTTCAGTTTACCCCAGTTAATTAAGAAAGTTTAATTTGGATGTTTAAGGCAGTTGAAAATTCTTTTTTCTTGACACTCAAGCAAATAAGAGCCAGGGCCTAAATTGAAGAGGTCATACAATATTAATATGACACTTGTAGGGCAAACAGTAATTGTAAATGGTGCAAACGTTTCTTATACAGATAGTTCTTTCAATTAACTGGTAACATCAATTCTGTTTTCCTTAACCATTATCCCTTCTGGGTCTAAGCCGACTGCACCTGATTGGATGAAGGTTAACCAGTTTATTAACGAAAAGCACAAGTTTCTTGCAAAGTTATTTGAAAATAAAGAAATCTTTGATGGCTGAAAAAAAAATGGTAATGAACATACAACAGTACTGTACTGGTACTTCATGGTTGTGATCTTGATTTGGATGCACTAGTGAGTAATAGTAGGTAGAGCATGTAATTATGTTCCACACAGACTGCCATTACCTGGGAGACTTGTTCCAAGTGCCACAAAAGTAATGGCAACAACACTATCTGCTAAGCCAATAGTACAGCCAAAGTGGGATGCAATATCCCCTATCACCATTGTCAAAATGCCAATAAAGATAATGGATACAACAAAGCATGCCCATCCACCCCATATGTCAGTGGGAGGGACGATCGCAAACAGAAGCTTCCAAAAGACAGTCATGTAGTGCATCATGTAGTCACCAAAGGTTGGCGTGCTTGGTTCTTCACTGTCATCATCACCACTGCCACTTACTGTCAGAGCATCAGTAAACTGCTCCTTCCAAGAAGAAGTACCCACAACCAGTGCTAAATTGGCTTTGACAAGCAACTTGTCAACTGTGTTCTTGAACTCTTTGCTTTCTATAATGGTCACCTCAGCCTTTTTGGTTTCACCTGAGAAGTGAAGACAAACAGAATTTTACTCCAACATCAAGATCTTGTTGAGTGGCTAGCTTTTTATGCACTGTAACTGGAGATGGCTCTTGGTACGTAAGGGTCGTTTTGTGTTCAATAACTTAATTAAAATCAAATTTATTTAATTCACTTAAATTATGAAAAAAATATACAGGACAATGCAGGACTTAAAATAACAAACATAACATTAGGGAGCTTAAGCAACAATGATGGCAACGAGAGCAGCAAACAAGCAATAGGATTAGTCAAGCAAAACAACAACTGTGCAGGACTGGTGTATCACACTTTTTTATTACATTGACTACGATCATGACATGAAAGTGCCTAATTTCACATTGATCGTGTAGAGGACATGAACTCAGAACAACGACTTTCTTTTTCCTTTCCCGAACTCTGATAGTCTTTTAGAATTCAAGCCCAGAACATTTGCCAACATTTTTGATGAACTGAATGAGATGGAATAAGTGTGATAAAGTTTGAAGGAGCACGAATGTAATTTTCAAGTGATGTTTTAGTAACTGTTGTCGTTGTTGCTGCTTAAACTCCCTAATAAATATTAAAGCAAAAAGTTGTGAGACGACTAAGAGACACAAGAAAGGCTTTGTGTAATTTAGTACCTAGTCTAGGCTTTCCCAGTTCCTCAAGGCGTTGCTTCTCAGCGTCATAAATCTCTTCAGTACCAGCTCCACTATCATCATCCTCATCATTTTTCACAACCTTTGGTTCCCCAAGGACGACATAAAATGTTTCGTTCTTTTCGTATTCCTCATCATCTATGACATTGACCTCAATGTTTTTCCTAAAATAAGAAAGCAAGGTGATGCCACTACTGCATACAAAATATGAAAAACACTCCTGTAATTTTATTTAAAATGCAATTGAACCTCTTAATTCAGCGGCAGGATTAGCTCAGTTGGTAGAGCACTTGACTGTAGGGCGAGAAGTCGTGGGTTTGATTCCTGGGAGCGGACCAGTACTCTAGGTCATAAAAAACTGAAAAATAACATGGGCACCAAAGGGAGAGAGGAGTCTGTTTTACAGGTAACAGTGTTCTCCCTAGGATTTTGGGAAGGCCAGGGGATCTTCTGACTCATTTTTGATAGTGCTTGTACAGTAAAAAAAATCAATTTGCTTTGACAAGCTTTTCTTTTTTGTTCCACGCATCTTGGGTTGACTGTTGAGTTTTCCATTGTGAGTTGTGATACTGCTTAAAATGTGAGCGCTGGAATTTCAGTTCTTACTCCGTGTAAGCTCCCTAAAGGGCTCTTATGTTTGTCGGTCAATTTCAAGATGGCTGCCATTCGGTGAAACGAGTGCATCACAGGTTTTAACATATTTATCCAATGGTAAATCAGTTTTACAATCAGTTAACTACGGGAAAACACTCATGTAAAAACACCACAGACAATGTTTCATCAACATTATTGAGTGATATTGTCCCTGAAGTACCGAATTCTAGATGTCAACATAAGCATCCAATCAGGTAAATGTTTGGTTTTAAGCCAGGCGGCAACAATTTCCCAGTGAATTAAGCCAGGTGGCCCGCCTAGCCTTAAATACCTGGGGAGAACACTGGGTAGGGATAACCGTAGATGGCTTTTAGTATCTTTGGGACCAAATGACTGTCTTTAATTAAAAAGGTGTTGATATTATAGAGATTTCCATGAGGAAAGGTTTGATGTAATATTTCAGCTAAAACATAAAAATGTTAAAAAAAAGTCGTTTAGAGAAACATTTTCAAACATGTGTGGGCTAAAAATTGAGAATCATAAAAATGCCAGCTTTCAACTTTCCAAACTTAAGTTTTCCACAGATAAAAAGATAAAAAGGTGATTTTTGCATGACCCAGGGAAGTCAACAAATTAAAAGGAAAATTATCTTCATTGACCTCCTCTTGGTTGGCTGATTGTTGTCTTTAACTTTCATGGTCAACATGTTTGCTATACATGCTAAATAAAATTATGTTTAGTGATTTTACCATATTTGAGTTTTAATAAAGGCCAAACAGGTGGCAAGCAATAATTTCACTAATATCTTATTCCAGTCACCACTGACAAACGTTTTAATCTGTGACTTTAGCTTACAGGGAAATCCTTTGAAAGAACACACCTAAAACAATTCTTTGTATAAATGTTCTTTTATGTACCTTATTTAATGTTTGACAAAAACTAAGATACATTTCAATAAAATCAATACAGTCTTGGTTGGAAAATAGGTTTTATACACATAAATGTGTTTATCATTTATGTTTTATTTAAATATTTATATTTCAAAACCACAATCAACAACATGTTTGCTCAAGGAGAACAACTAAGATCAACTTTAATTTGAGCTATTGCTAAATGACCACTTTCCATTTGAATTTTTTTTCTCATTCAACTCTTGACCAACCTAGTGTGATATTCTATCTTATATATATGTATCTTCCCAAGTGATAATTTGCATAATGCTTTATTACAAATAAAAACTTTGAAACTGTTTTGTCAAGATTTAACTAAAAGTTGTGGTCCAATAAATAAGACAGAGATTCATAAGTAAAAATAACTTTTTAGCAGAGATTTTCTTATCAGGCCTGACTTCATCTTCCACACAACGATTGTTGAATCTCTGAACTCATTATACAATGTACAATGCCACAAAACTTATCTTATACCACTTGTTAATTATTTATGCAAACTTGCATGGAGTAAAACATATTCAGATCTCCTGAACATGTATCTGCGTACTCGACCATTATATGTGAGAATTACATAATTTATAACAAATTGAAATTATCTAAATAATTCAAGCATGGGCACAGAAATATTTGAATTGGCATTTGCCTTCTTAATGCTGTTTATCATAAACATAATTCCATCCAGGAATGACTTGATCTCAACCAATTAAGAATGACAGGCTTGTAAATAAACAACCATTGGCTATAACCAATCCCATTTCATGCCGAATGGTTACATGTGAAAACATAAAGTCTTGTTGATATTCTGCGCCAAGAAATATTCAACCAAACACTTGTCAAAGTCATAGAGGCATATCTATATTTTAACTGTCCTATATTATGAAACTTAAGCCTATGTTACAATATTTGAATCAAAACCCAGAGTAAACAAGTATCGAATTATTAAATAAAAGTGTCATAACAATCTCAGATACAAATCAATTTCATTTAGTGCACTTGATGAACAGGGAAGATCAGTACAGTGTGCATCCACTTGAAAGGTCAAAAGTTTCAGACGTACAACAAACATGTTTTGTATGCAAAATCCTCTCCACTATGCTATTTCAATATTAAAACATCGGCCTTCGTTTGATAAAAAGGGAGTCCTTTTAAAGCCCCCCGCCCTCCCCACCCATACTTGGTGGCATCAACAGGGTCATGACGCCTTGCAGTGCTCATCTGCACATGTTTACAACAAATGCCACCTTCATCAGCCTGCGTTCTTTTCACACGCGATATAAAATTCTGGTCACGATATTTTAGACGTAAAGGCCAATCCTGATAAATTTTGTTAAGACTATGCACAAGCCTTGCCTAGTTGCAGCATCAAAACCAAATCTCTTGAATTTCCCATCCATGAAGTAACCGTCATGCTCTCCAGATATTGTTTCATAAATTGCTCTTTTGTTACCAGAGAAGAAGACGTGCCAACATCGATCGTGACGGTTTTGTTTCGTTAAAAAAAAAAAAATTTTGTTGCCAAGAATTTGAATTGCTTCTCTGCTTTTGGATTGCTCGAAGAGGTAAATATAACCGCAAAACTTTCACCTCTAATGCACCTGAGGATTCTAAAAATTAAAAGCTAACAAGGAAATAGTAATGTGCTTTTGTGGATATTTTCCCCTTTGTTGTAAACAAAATGGTTCTGACGTGACAAGGGTAAAAAGAAAGTCTTGGGAGTAAATATCACGACATAAATTCATACTACCTCAATACATCATGCTGAGGCCGCATTATTATCAACTATCAGAACCTGTCAGGTCTAAATGATAACCTTCGTAATCAAGGCAATGTTGCTAAATAGCGTAAAGTAAAATTAAAAGTTTGCTGAGTTAAATCAATTTCAAATTTATGAAAGCTAAAGCATACGACGTCGCATCATTATCACTTTATTGTTTGCATTTTATAACCGTAGCATCTGCAAGTTGTAGACAGATGTTAACAATGTAAAGTTATCGTCGTCATCACAAGTTAAATTTTCGGTGAATTTACCGATCTACGTGGCAGATTAAAACAAAAGAGTCTCCTTTTAACCCTGTAAATAAACCACCTGTATTGGTTTGTACTCGGATGGATTTCGATATATATAAGTATGTTGTGTACGGAAAGCTTCTAGAAACAGTCGAGTGATTTGTTTTGACACTAGTACGTTTTCGATCTTAAATAGAAACAATATTAATAGATCCAAAAATACAGCCTTATAACAAGATCTGCAGTATGTAAATATCGCATATATGTTGATTATCATTTTTTTAAAAATCCTTTAACAGAAATCAACACACTTTTTATCTCTATCACTTTAAATTCTAAAAAGAAAACAACACAGAATCTTACCATGTTTCGTCGTTCCCAAACTCCAATTCACCAACAGCATCCTCGTAATCATCGCCACCGCCTTTGGCAGTTCCTTCCACTGTGTGGTAGGGAACCCGAACGGTGCCTCGAGCTCCCGTGTGGCGAATCACCTTCAATTTAATTGTTCCATCTGCTTCAGTTACCGAGTGTTTCTCCTCCTCAAATGTGAATATACCGGGGTAGTCATCGTCCAGGATTGTGATTGTAGCAACACCGTCTTTGCCAACTTTTCCCGCCGGACCTCGGTACTTGTTTCGCACCAGATCACCATCAGCACCAGCCACTCGAACATTTCCCAGGTGAACATAGAAGTGTTCATCTTCTTCAAAGATGTCATCGTCGATCACAACGACGGAGAAAGTCTTGGTGGTTTCTCCTGGCCTGAAACAAATTGTACCCTCGGTTTTTTCATAATCTTGACCAGCCTCTGCGGTGCCATCTTCCGTCCTGAAGTCTACAAAAACTGTGTTAGTGGGATCGCCACCAATGCGTGAAATGTTCATGAATACACTGCCACAGTTTTCTTTGACAATATAGTGCACGGGGTCAAAATAAACTCTGACGACCTGAGGGTCTTCGTACTCGACTTCGTGCATCTCAAGTCTTGCATCTGCCAGGGAACTGCTGGCTTTTTCCAGCTTGTCATGCTTCATCTTCAATACGTTTCCACTACCAACCATCTTACGAGTGGCCTCAATTCGGTAAAACGCTCGACTTTTGGGTTGAAGTTTGAGGTTTTCTTGCTCCAGCAGACGTTCGACGGTCTCTCGGTCAGCATCTGGATACTTTTGTCGTATTTCTTTCAGCGCTTGGATGGCCTTTTCGCGCCTGTCTTCCGTAAGATCATGTAGCAATTCGTCATCATCGAAATCTTGACCAGCTTCGGTATCGGCATAACGACCATCGCCAACATTTCCATCGACAAATCCGTCTTTCACCTGAACTCCAATAATATCGAAATCGCCTGTCTGCACGACGGTCATTCCCCCGCGCTTTTGCCTCCTCTGTCTCTTTCGTAGGGCTCTGTAGAAGAGAAGCCTACGGTCTGCAATGTAGGCACAGATAACCATGACAGGGAAGAAGGCAAAGGTTAGAATGGCTTCCCATATCTCCACTTCATCCTTTGAGGAGAGCGCCAAAATAACATACAACCAAACGTAAGCCAAGACCGACGTGGAAGCTGTGATAGCAAATACACGCAGATGCTTGATTCGTCGAACTTCGCCATCCGGAATAACATAAACACAGACTGCAATGATAATCAGCAAGTTGAACGCCGCAGACCCTACGATTGTGGAAGGACCAAGCTCGCCAGCATTGAAATTATTTCCGCAGATTTCAATTGCCGAGAGTAAAATTTCGGGTGCGGATGATCCAAGTGCCATGAGAGTTAAATTCGAGACTGTTTCGTTCCACAGTTTCACAGTCAACACTCTCTCCTTTCCTGTTTGCTTGTCCGTTATTTTTATTTCTTTTTCTTTCGATGTGATTATTTCTATCGCAGACATAAAGCGATCTGAAATTATTGAAACACCAAGGAACATAAATAGTAAGGCAAGGAGGTACACGAATGCTCTCCCAACAGTCTCGCCGGTAGAAGGTTCGCCTCCCCATACAGGCAAAACAATCCCCGCTTTACATTCTGTTCTTAGATTGCAGTCGGCTCCGCGAACGGTCTGTTGTAGAAAAGCACACCAAACTGCAAAACTTATGCCCGAATGAACCGCAAGCCTTTTCACGAAGGGCATGTTTAGAAGCTTTCTACATTTATAAACGTCGAAAGGGCGAGATAAATAAAATTGTCAGCTTCGAACGGTGCGATGTCCACCGAACAGGTCGAAATCGGTGGTCCCCAATGAATGGTGCTTGGATATGTGTTTCAAACGGCGTTCTGTGGTGCGTAAAAAGCGTAGAAATATCTTTTCACATTCAAATTATAGCGAGCAATACACCAGCTGCTTTCATTCTTACTGGATGGCAGGAGAAAAGCGACCTACCAAGCAACTGGCACTGTTCGCCAATTGAAAAGAAGTTTGCATTTGGCATGTTTATATATTATTATGATGAGCTGCGCATGCGCACTATGACCTGTATGTTATGATAATATTTTGATCGGCCCAAGAAATATATTCGGGGCTATCAAATACATTTTAAATATACAAAGTGTTTCAAATAGGAAATCAATAAAAATCTCGTTTCAGTTTGAAATTAAACAAACCCCTCAGCGAAGCGAAGTAAATTGGGAAAATATTCACTTTCACTCATATTTGAGAGTCCAATGTAAATGACGCACTAAAACTGCACAATGCTTTCAAGAACGTGACGACTGGATACGATCCCTCACCAAACAACACCATTTTTGTACTTTAAAATTGATTTCAAAGTGCGGGGTTTTATTTTCAGAACATGAAGAGACCTATATTGCCCGATCCTGGTAACAGACTCCGCCTGGTAGAACATTCTAGACGGTTTTGATTTTCATACAGGCATTTTAAATCCGCTGATACTAATCAATATAACTGTTTTGCTGTCGATTATCTAATAACTTCACACGGCTACTGAAAAAACAAAGAATAGTTCGCTTTGCAGTGTGATTAGCACCATATAAGTCTACTCCGCGATATCGGTTGCTGCATGCATTTTAAGGTGTGGCCCAGGCAAGTCGTGGTATTAAACACCAGCTAAGCTGGTCACCGGTTGAATAAAGCAAACAACCGAGGTTTATCCATAACAAACAGTCTTCTATAGAATTCTTTATTTTCTGCTTGAGCAGAGCCCAAACATTGACTTCTGTCAACAGGGATGCCCAAAAACCCGTACATAACAATGTACCCGACACATTAAACGGTAAAAATGTTCCCTTATAAATGTTTTGAATTCAAGGACTTAAAAAAACTGGTATACTGTATTTGTATTGTCTTTGTACATCTTATTCTTTTAAGCAAACTTACCATTGTTTAAAATTGTTAGAACCGAATATTTTAAGACTGGGGCAATGTAAATCTGACCAACGGAATTAATAAAGAATAGTCGGATTAGCATCGACAGGCCGTAAATCATTCAGAATAGATCATTCCTTTTATCAGTGATGTTTTGAAGGCTCCCGTTTTACAAAGCAAGCCTTGGATAATCTAACAAGCGAAATTTATGATGTTTTTCAAACCAGCTCGATCCAGTCTGTTTAAAATGCGTCTTTGTCTTCAACACAAACCACTGTCTCCTTAATTACCGCATGAAATTGATCAATTGAGATATCTTTTCGCAGTTCACGGAAAAGTTCTCGTACTACCCCTGAATGCGGAAAGCTTATCATATACATTGGCCCCTTCCACGAAAAACATCAAACTGTATATGTAGCTTAATAAGCAAGCAGAACTGTGAAATCAAACAAGATGACGATCCATTTGGGCTTAAAATATCACGTGCATTGGCAGTGACTTTTCAGTTTCAGGGCCAAACATCCGGGTTATCCAGCGGAAACACTTATTGTCACTTTTAGGGGTGCTTAACAAAATACACGGGTGTTCAAGAACACTGCAAAGAGCGAACATGGTGAAAGGTTATTGCAGCTCCCGCTGCTTTCTCAACGACGTGGTTTCGAAATCTTTATCAGTAAAGCTGTACTTGTGTCGCTGTGTTATTGTTACACTTAGCGGATCAGCTGCAATTCTTGTCATTTCATAGGATTGCGGTATGACGACTGTTAGCAGTGTCAGTTTTTTAAAGGTTCTTGAGATTACCCTACGGAAACATATTTCATTTGCATGAACACCAAAAGGTCATTGTACCAATCATCCATGACTGCTTTGAAGCGGGAGTCGTGGCTATTTCGTGACGTTAGACTGGTTAATGCCTGTCTTTGGCTTAGAACTACAGGTCTTCTTTGTCACTGGGGTACAGTGTTCAAGCAGTCGACAAGCAACATTCCCAGGTCACTGAGCGTCCTATACCAAACAACGCTTTTTGGTAAAGGCACACTAGTAAACAGCGTTAAACCGTATTTATTTGGAAAGTACTAATGGGTCAATGGGGGTGAAGAGTTTAATTCACCTTGTCAAGAGCATCCTGGAAGTTATCACAACGTGAACCTCACGCAATTCATCTTCTTTCTCGACGGGGTATTCGCGATGACACTTAATCTCCCATTAATCTTTATTTTGATTTTTAATAGTGAACAGTTTTCAATTAAATAGTTCAAAAATCGTGCTGTGAAGTAACAGCTTTCGGTGGTTTCCTGTGTCAAACAGCAAAATATAAAAACATGAAAATAGAGTATTGATTCGTACGCCAACTAAAGATGAATGCTGAAATCCAAGAGTGTCAAGTCTCCGACTTAGATAAAAGCACTAGAAAAATTGATTTAGGGATATTTAAAAGCCATGATACAGCCAATATACAGTCAATTTTGCCACTTCATCTCATGTGATAAAACATTAGACCAGGTGATTTTTGTGGTACACTGCCCCTACGTGGAGTGTTCGGCAAGGATTCATTAGGAAGCTACTCTTTTTAAATTGATATGGGAGGTTCACCACCGGAGATCAAACGAACGAAAGTTTCTAAACTAAGCAAAGTAATGAAGCTAAGGCTATCGCTCTCAACGTTTCTCACTTAACTTTGAAGGTTTAATGGAATGATTGAGCACTGGCACAGAAATGGACAAGTGGTCAATTAAAACAAAGAAGTCAAAGTAGAATGGCTATTTTATCGGCGTTTAACTGCTGTTTTATCGCATTTTCTTTTTGTACTAAAATGTTCAAAGTCCCTCTTTAGAGCGTATATTTAAGCGTTATCCTCTGTGTAAATTCCAGTAGTCTTAACAATAAATATATCTAATTTTACTATTTACATTTTAATGTAGACCCCCAACGGTGATTGATTGATTTCTAAAGTACACAACTTCGTAAGGTCCTTGTAAGTTATTTGTAGTTTTCTTTAGAGAACACTGAAATGACCATATGAAAGTGTTCTTATATACCCTTGACATTAAACAACTTTGTCAGTTTTCTCCATAATGTATTCACTTGTAGGACCCCTGTGTAGGGACAAGCCCTCCCCACGGTGTACGTCGTGTACATATCGAGTTGACTTTGTCACTTTCGTCGAGTTTGTCAGACTAAGGTTGTTGCGGAAGTCGGGATGAACTTGTTGAGTGAATCTCCGGTTGGTAAGTGAGGAGAACTATCAGCACCCATAAGTGAAGCAGTACCTAAGAAAAATAAAAAATATATGAAAAAAAAATATTGGTAAGAATGCACATGGTACAAGCACGTTTACCAAGGAATAAACAATACGTCCTTTCAGTAACTTAGAATACATTGACAAAATGAACGAATGTTTAAGAGAATTATCGTGTTACACCGCAAAACATTCGGCTGTTTTTTGTATGTAGCCCTTTTTTTGCCATTTCTTCTTTTAAGGAAAAAGAAAAGGCAACAAGAATAATTACAAAACAGACCATTCAAATAGCCGGCTCCGCCTTTGCAACCTTTAAGGTGCATCACTGGAACAATCACAACGGATAATTACACCTTCTAAGGTGGCAGATGTTCACAAAGAAGGGTGGGGAGGGTGTGCCCTTTACTCGATTTTCTCGGCACACAAGGATATATATTTTGACTGACGATAAACGTTTATGTAAGTGTTTGTCGTCGCTAAAAGCAAGTGTCACGATTAACCGACGTAATCAATGAATAACAGGCTATATAAAAAGGATATCGTTGAGAAAAGACAGTAATGACACAGAGACGGCACGGCGTAAATTCTTACCATGTAAATGATGACGAAGAGTCGTGCGATTGGATATCTTTTCAGAAAAAGACCTAGTCGTATACTGCAAAAAAGTAAAAAAAAATAAGAGAAGCTTGGAACCTTCAACCGCTTTTCGAGAAATACTGTTTCGCGCATTGAACGCCTGCAAAGATCTTAAAACCACTCAAAAGAAAATTTTTAAAGCGTGTCTATGGACCGTTTTTTTTTTGTTTGCGCTATGGTAAAAGCAAAAAACATTGAAGCTGCTAAAATGTACACAATTAATAAGCTTTTAAACTTATGACAACGGTATTGTGCATTATGATGTTACTCTCTCAGAAACCTTTTAGGGATGTTTACGCTACCTTAATATTCCATCGAAAGTTCCCCCCACGCCGATGATTGTTCGCAAATGCTACACCTGTCAGCGATTGTAATATTCTTAGAAAAAAATCAAAGGATCCCAATTTTTATTTCATTTCACTGTATCGGGTTTTCATGAACCGAGAACAGAACCTTCCAGATGCAACAAATATTAAGTTACCTGAATTTATCGATTTCATTGACTGCCCTGTTGACTTTTCTCGAGTCGTTGAGCTGGGATGGCATTATTGACGATATTGATCTCACTCGAGACACTACAATGGAGTCAAAAGAACAAATTAGATTCAAACTGCGTGCAGGTAGGGTAGAAGCATTAAGTCTAATAGACAAAGTGTTACCACGAAATCCGCGCACGAACATAAACGGAATAATTCTGCGTGTCTCATTTCCTTTACGATTGTACCTTTCCTTGAATCTATATGCCAAACCTATTTCTTAAGGGCCATTCACCCTGCATATGCTTTATTTTACTTTTTAACATTCCATTTTTTCCTACTTTTTTGCAAAAAATAAAATGCTGCTGAATTATGATGTCATCGCGAAATGTGATATATCTGTCCTTTAATTAGTCCACTTCGCATTATATTTTGCCTTATCTTGGAAAACAATAAGCCGATCAATTACAAAATAATCGACGAATATCCTATTCCACGGCACTATATGGCAGACTGAACAATCGATTTTCCCATGCATTAAAAAACATAAGATAATCATTGCCTATTTGATCTCTCTCTTCCAGTTTTGTTACTTAGGGACGGACCATTAGAAAAGTTATGGGGGGAGGGGAATTTTCGAGCCGCAGGAATTTTTTTTCGTTACCAAATTCCTTGTATGAATTTGTTTTAGGCCATAGCATGAATATTTTTTAGGATTAATTGGCGTGCAAGAATTTTTCTCATTTAATTTTCCCTTGCGCGAAAATTTTTTTTGTACTTCCACCTCCCCCCTCCCCCCCCCCCCACACATCTCATTCACCCTCCCCCCTACCCTTTTTATCAACATCAACTTCTATATATCTTTTTCTCTTCTCAAGCTTCCCGAGCGATAATTAAAAAAACAATGCTGTAGACTTCATTTCATCGTTTGTATATGTCTCCCCCCCCCCCCCCCCCCCCCCCATAAGTTTTCTAATGGTCCGTCCCTTAAGCCTTTATTTCAAGCATTAACCTTGTTTCTGTAGTCTGTTGCGACGGATGAACATGAATTGAAAATTGAAAAAAATGGGCTAACTTTTAGTTTTAATGCTATGCTTACAAATCACCCAATAAATATTATGGTTACTGCTCCCTGATGAAATTTGATTGATATCTTTTGGAGCATTTTATACGGGTAAAAGCACTAAAGGTAATATGACACAAGACGATTCGCAATGACGATTTTTAACACAACACAAATGTTGGAAAAATATTGCAGTCATTCGAAACAATGTTGTAACGCTGTGTTGCACTAAAATCGTCGTTGGGAATCGTCCAGTGTAACATCACCTTTTCTGATGTAAAACAGCAATGTCCTCGTGACATAGCCCCTTTATGGAAAGCGAAAGGCGAATGGGAAACTCAAAACCTGACAAATATTGTAAACATTGTCCAGAGAATTACTTTTTTTTCTGTGGTTTCTAGAACACTTCACATGGTCCAGTATAGAAAGTAGAGAATTACGAGAATGCGAGACCTGTAACATCGAGAGCCTCGCAATATCTGTTTAACATTTTAGGGCCAGAAGTTATGGAAAGCTATCACATCCAAAATATATTAATATCAGCAAGTGCACAGCAACAAACCAATGAGTGGTGCCGTCTCGCCCAGTTGTAGACCTGGATCAGTACAATTAGACTTGTACAAACGGTTATTTGTTTAAATATATATTTTTTGTTTCATTCTTTTGTTTACTTCTTCCCCTGGGGGAAAGTGGTGGGGATGCTCGTCGTCTCGCTTAGGGGTGTAAATTTCGGATTTTGGTCTCATTTAGGGTGTTCTGGGCAAAACACCATCATCATTTAGCCGTGAAGTCTCGTTTAGGGTTGCACGCGAAAAAATATATATGTGATATTGTATATTTTTAATTCGTTTCATTTACTCCATTCATATAATCCAAGTTTTCTCATTCGTCTGTGTTTTAACATGGCCTCTTTTAGGGATCAAAAAAATGCTTGGGCCACGCCCAGATCGGTCTCCTTTAGGTGTTTAATTCAAAATTTCCGACGAGCATCCCCACTCCTTTCATATGCGGAGTCCCCCTTCCCCGGGACTTCTTCATCGCCTTGCCGTAAGGATCAGTTTGCCGTTTCAAATTTATCACATCCAACGTTAATCCTACTCCATCAAACGTTTTTATAGCTAAATCGTAGATTACGATGTGTAATGCACCTCTCCCCCTCTTGTGCTATTTAGGGGCCGACCATTTAACTCTTGAGGGGGGGGGGGGGGGGGGTGATTTTGAAAAAAAAATTCCTGCAAGCGCTTGTCGGAAGAAAAAAATTGCATGCAGCACAAATGTAATAGAAAGCTTATGGGAAGAAAAGGGAAAAAAAATATCCTGCCTACCAGACTGCTAGAACAAAAATTCTTGATGACCAGAAATCACCCATCCCTCCCCTCAAGAGTTAAATGGTCGGTCCCTTACATCGATTTTCCGTTAACGCAACAAAGAAGTTTCAGCTCCGATCTATACCGAGGAATCGCACCGACAATTAAATATTTTTCTAACTTTTCAGAAATTCTTGAAAGACAAAAAAATACAAACGTGTATTTTCGTCAGTGTCATCAAATCCGTTGTAAGACGCCGATGGTCCGGCCATTAGTTTCGAGGCTGACGCTTGCACATCTCTATATTGTTTCTAGAAAGCAAGGTGAGAATCAAGAAAGAAGGTTTAGTAGTTATTAAAGTTATGCATTTTTCATGGTAGTAATGCATTCGTGATAACGACCATTTTAATTGTGTGATTGATATTAGGTGAATACGGTCAGGATGCTAAGAAGGTTCCTGAACTAGCAACAGATCGTTGCCTACGCATCATTAAAATTTATTATATAAGTGGCCGTTTTTCGTGATGTTGGAAAAATGCAATTTTTAAGTCATCTTACTAAAAGGAATAACACGGTCGGCAAGTATCCAAGGTCAGAGCATTAAAAATAATGTGTGACCTTGATCAAGTTCAATCTTGAAAGTGGTCCTTGTGGTGGGCGTTTGAAGGTGAAAGGAAAGAGGGGGTCGGAGGAGTGTGAGGACATGAAAGGCTCGCGCGCTTTGATTCTCACTTCCCCTTCCCCTCTAACCACAGAGCAACGAAGGTATGAATGATGTCATGCCAACTAAAGCTAGGAACGACAAGCCTTTTTGCAATTTATACCCTTTCAGTCGAAGCTGCTGGAAAGTCACACGAGTCCAGTAAGATTCGAAGGCAGGAGTTTCTATCGGTTGAATCTCCAGCCATGGGTGTCTCGAAGCGCCTTCAATTTTCGCCCACCAGGCGCATCGGAACACCCACGCCTGGAGAATGAGGCCCCCAGTGTCCATGGCTACCTAAACTTTTCTTACAAAAATTGGGCAGAGTATCGTGCTGTAACTAAAGGCCTGGGACTCCACTCTGCAGCGATATAATTTGACTTTTCTCAGACCTAAACCATTATAATTTACCTTACTTTCACTTTTTCAAAAAAAAAAAATGAATATTATGCTCTACAGTTTCGACCTCTGCGTTTTTCAATGAATGTACTTTATTTTCACTGAATCAAAATCGATCACAGTACAACTAAAGAATATAATTTTTTTTTTCCAGATGAAACTGATTGCTTTTTATAATCTTCTAGAAACCGTTTCCCGTGGCATTCCCTGACAACTGACTTTGCCAAGAAGTAAAATATTCCCTGACTTTTAATACCCTGACCTCAAACACATTTGCATATCAGTTATTATTTCCTTTATTGAAGAGGCCTCTACACTACCCACATCCACTCAGTTGTAGGAAATAGCCGCTTATCCTAGAATTACATAAAACCACCAGTTAATGTCCTTAATTTTTTAAGAACCTCTACACTGTATGTTCTCGAACACACTCCACAGCATATTGCACGTGAGGCGAGTTTGATATTAATTTAACTAATGCGCTGGAGGGCAATTACTGCTAGAGTGGGAGCCAATTGTTAGGGTAGAATAGGCCGGATCATCTAAACTCCTCAATTCTATGCAGTACTTTTGTTTTTAAGCTAATGTTTCAACGCTAAGACTTATTATTTTGTCCTATTTCCTATCAGGTGTTGCGTAGGTTGAGATACCCTCGGAGACACTCTCATTCACTAGCTGAAATTCACCTTCGCCTCAGTGATTAAGGTCACTGAGAGAACTATAAATATAGTGAAAACGGAAAATGTACAAACAAAATAAGTGAAAGATAGACGTTTACAGTGTTTATTACCTCCAGTCGCTCAAGCTGTAGCACTAAGGAGTTCTTCTCCGTACTCAAAGCCTCAATAAGTGTTTGTTTCTGGATAAGATTTTCCGTCAATGCTCTAACACGGTTCTCTAATTCCTCCTCACTTGTAGAAGTAAGAGCCTTGGTTGCAAGCTATAGTATCAATAAGATCATGGTTCTTTTTTATTTGTAATCACGCTTTTCAACATGTTTCAAACGCAGTCAACTAAGATGCTAATTAGCGGACACCGCTGGGAACGAAAAAAAGTGTCCCGCGTGTCAGAGAAGTACCCGCCCTGTGGAGAGTCCAAGGATTTGAGGGCGAGAACGACTACAAACACCAGAGATTTGACATAGAGCTTTTTCGCGAATTCTCAAAAAACAGACTCCCCGGAGAGCTTCACTGTACTTTCACCAAAGAAATTAGCACTGTTGATGAAGGTTGAGACCCCTCCCTATGGAAGAAAGATAGAACTTCTAATATCTTGTTTCCGCCACTACGACATTCTCGCTAAACCTCGTAGTAGATAGAATGACGAAGGCTATCACGTTTTCCGCCCAAACGACGCTGGTTCACGCGCACTACTTAGTATCAAGAAAATCTCGTAGTCGTCCTCGTCCTCGTCTTAGAATCTAAAGGACTCTAATACGTCAGAACAACGGCAGGGACCCTCCCCCCAACTCTAGGTGTCCGTTCTAGGGAGGAGCTCGGCTTACATAGGTGTCTTTTGAGAGCGTTGACTGTAAACCAGCAATACCAGTCACACCCCCTTAAAGTGATTGATAGCAGTGTGGTGTGCGGTTCATCACAAGTTAGCCGATTCCCAACTGTAGTTCATTAAAAATCCCGAATAGAAAACTTTTCTCGTGTTTTTTCCAACATCCTACTTTTATTAGTCCACCGAAAATTGGAAGCACCAGTCAGAACGCGTTGAGTAACTCAGTCTTTTCATCTCTAATATCAGCTAGATCATGGTGATTGCCACGGATGTCAGTTTTCAGAATGTCCTCATCGACGAATGGCGTCAATGTAAGCCGCGGGACAATGACGTGAAATGATTCTCCTTGCTTTTAACAGTATTAAAATTGTGGATGTTACAATTCCAGTTTTTCCCGACTCAAATTAAAACTCCCTGACCATTTCCTGACCTGTGGCAACTATGAGCCATTAGACTGTTAAACATTTTAAGCCTTTCAAGCCTTTGTGATAGGATGTACCGATGTCTGAATCCGTATTCTTTAAGGATATAGACTAGACGCAAATCCTATTTTACGCAATAAACTGACACTGTGTCCGGATTTGGACCAGCTCCTTCAACTAAACCCTATAAAATCACTCTCATTTACCTGATTTCTCAATTTCTGAATTTCATTTTCTCTCTCCTGTAGAAAAAGACAAGCTCGTTAGTAGATGGGCACAAGGTAATCCTTACCAAATAGGAAAATGAAGAAAACTCGATCACATGAACTCGCCTGTATTTGACTCATGAAACTGGTTTTGTTTGTTCGTAATTCTTCTTGGGCGTAATGCAGGTCCTAAAGGAGAAACTGACGTTAGATTTATGCATACATATACTCTCCGTGTTTATTAGAGAGAAACTGCTCGCTGATTTTAAGACCCAGTTTAGAAGCATAATTCCGGCTTTCTTTGGAGATTTTACTAGGACAGGATACCACCAGTCAAAGCCCTTGCAAACATTTTAGTATCAGGCCAGTAAAGTCGTGGAGAGTAGGAAAAAGATGTGCCCTCGTTTCTATCACAATTTTGTCATATTTTAAAGTCATTGAGTTCAGCACTAATGGGTGGAGAAAAATTATTTTACAGAAAAAATATTTTTTGTTTTCACACGATAGTTTTGTTGTCCATACCTGAAGATGCTGTTGTATTTGTTGTTCACAAGCGTCTCTCTTTCTCTTTTCATCGTCCAAAGCACTCTCTAGCTCCTCGACTTTCTCCCGAGCCAACTCAGCCTCTGATTGTTGCTGTTGCTCCACCTCCTGTTTTATTTAATACGTCAGTTAAAACTAAATCAGACCTTCTTACAAATTCCGAACCAACTGACTTAAATATTTACAAAGGTCTGCAATTAATCGTCCAGAAATAAATGTTTAAAACCTTTATAAAGTTTTCTAGAACCCCTAAAATGCCTGCCTCTCTCACGAGAGTCGGTACCTGGGCTTAAGGTTTGGAGTGCCACACAAGTGAGCTACTAAACTTGCCACAAGTCGGCCTCACGAGTTTCACTTTAAGAGCAGAGAGCGAGCGTTATTAAATAGGATGAAGGACTTTTTCGATAGTCTACTGAGCTAGTTCTCTGTATGAAATTGCCCACACTGGACAGCGAGCAACTACAGTAGTTAACACTGCAGGGTTGGAGTATATTTACCTGCAGATCAGCCTTGAGCTGTTCCATGCGGTATTTGAACTGGTTCACCTCGTCTCTCAACATGTCTCTTTCATGACAGACCTCTTCATACTCTGAACTACTAATGCCACTTGCAACTTCTCCATTACTACCATCGCGAAGGCTTGATATTACCTTGTCTTTAGCCTGGAAGGGAGAAAAGCACAAATAATAAGGACAAAAAACTTGATAATGTGATAATTTCTACCAAGCTGTAAGTCAAGCGAAGATCATATAGCATTTTGCATCCCCCGGGGAAGCTCCACCCGAGAGAGGTACCTTTTACAGGCTTTTTCAGGTATATAAAAGGAAAGGAATTTCACGAGTTGAAGAATATGAAAGGGTACGGATTTACAGGATCTTTAATTAAAAAAGGCACGGTATGGCCGTATCATTTTTTAACATTCATCAAACACTACATACAATAGACTTACTGTTACATGTAGTAGGTATGTAAAAGGCCTAGGGACACTATTTTTCAGTGGAAGTTATACAGAAGGGGCACCGTTTTTGCCAAAAGTGGTATACCAAAGGGTTGGACCTCTGGGCGGAGCCTTTCCATATAAAACGTTGTTGAATACCCACCGGGCATTTTGTAGTGCATAAGTACTGCTGTCTTCCTCAATTTATCGAAGATAATCGAAACTGCGAACTCCATCTCTTCTGACCAGCGTTTTGCCTTTATTGACTTGGCTAAGCCAACCACTATACAAAAGTTTAGTTTTCCATGAAAGGATACTGACATTACAGGTAAGACCTAGATAACGTTTCTGTGAAAACTGCCACCTATAACAATTCTGCCGCCAATATCTATACAATGCGAAATCTTAAGGATGTAGTTCTTGCAGACTTTCAAACGTTTGATCTTGTTTGCATGTCATCTGTTTTTGGTTTTACTTTTTAGTCTTTTAGTGTAACCCACGACCTGGCGCCTGTTATTTTTAAGTAACTTAACGCTATCTACCGGATAAACCGCTATCTAATGGATAATGCATATGGTTTCCGGAACACATACATTGGACGGCGATTTTTTCGGTGGATAGCCAAAGGTACAACCATGGACTAAAGTCTTGGGACACTTTTGCAGTTGTGGGGCGTTTTCCAATTCACACATGCGTAGCCCCTCCCCCTCGCCCCACAAACAACGTTGGGCGCGTGTATCCAGAATTTTTTTTCGAGTTTCAACTTTGTATAGGGTGGGGGAAAGGATAACTGCAAGAAAATTTCGAAAAGGATGCACTGTTTTAGGAGAAAACCCAGAAATTACAGAAAATTATGAATACTGCATGATTGTATCTTTTGAAAAACCGGGGCGGGGATGGTTTGGGCGCCTGGAAAGAAAAAATGATAGCCCCCCGCCCAATTCGTACCTGAAGGATCCTGGCTGCTTTGTCCTTGTAATCTTTTAATTCTTGCTTAGCAGTTTCTAGACTTGCTTTGGCATTCTTGAGTGCTGCTGTATTTTCGTTGCTCTTATCTGGTATATAGCTAAAGGTCACACTCTTAAAATGAGGGCGCTTACCGAAAATCAGAACTGGCAGTAATTAAAAACTAAACGATAGCCTTCACTCAAAATTTTCCCTACCAGTCACCAATGCCGAGCATATCATTCAAGTATAGACTGATGTGATTGGATAGACCTCATTAATAGTGGAATTCTTTTCACAATTGGAATGGTCTGCCAGCCAGTTCTAACAAATGGAGAGCGCCCTAGAGTACCATGTATCTTGCTTGTTGTACTTTGGTACTTTGGTAAAAATTCTGCAGTTTTATTGGCTGAATGCAGCTGTAGTTCAACTAAATTTGAAGTACCGCGACCTCTCTTTTACACCTCCCACCACAGGAGACCTCCTTTACCCCCACCTTTTTCCGGGGATAGGGTTCTAATAGACAAGGGAGTTAAAACTTGGAAGTAAACACTGTTTAAGGTACTCTTAAACCAAACCTTTGCATTTGTGCAATCCGCACATACTCATTAAAATGCACTTGATGGCAAAGAACTGTGTTTGCATCATAAATCAAATTAAGGCAATTAGAGAGTGGAGCCCTAATTACGTTTTTACCTTTTAAGCGGGGAGGTTGCTTAAAAGAGAGTAGCCTGCATAAAGGCGCTTTATGAGCCAAGCGAGGCGAACGCGACATTTTGCGCGAAGCGCGAAACGAGTGCCGCGTTCGCCTCGCTTGGCTCATAAAGCGCCTATTGTGCAGGCTAAAAAGAGAGAGAAGGGTTACTAGAGAGATCAAGGTAGTTGAATGTAAAAAATTGAATTTCTTACCTAGTTTAAAATTGACAGAAATTTCACTCGACTAATTTTTCATTCACGGTGTTAATGCCAAAAAATGATAATAATAACAAAAAAAAAACAGACACATACCAAATGCAGCTGGCACCAGATTCTACTCCTTTGCCAAATCTGCAGAATCATCGATATCAAAGACATGTGCCATGACTGTAAACAATTATTTGAAAATATTACATATAAAAGGATACTCTTCTCTTCATTAAGTTTCTTTTGCATGTTTTTGAGTGACTCTGCCATGGCTTTTTGCTCTTCCTGTAGTTTATTTTGCCTTTCTATGGCCTCTTGCTAAAAAAGAAATGCACAGCAATTTACTTGTCTAGCTCTGCAAACCATGTGTATTTTGAACTTTGTTTAAGACAACGAGGCCAAATTGAAAAAATGCCAGCAAGGATGTCATGACCTAAAAGTAAATAAGTAAATTAATTTTATGGAGCTTTGGGTAGAATACCCTTTAAATTCCTGCAAATAAACCAACAAGGAACATGAGGTACAGCTTAATAAGGCAACACAAAAACAAAACTCATGTTTCGCTCATGTGTGTGTGCCCTAATGACGCACAGCTAATAACATATTCAATATGTTATTATGCCCAGTAAGTATACACACTGTAATACCATGCATTGCCTTAAGTAACTGACCTGCATTTTCTTATGAGACTCTTGGCTAGCTTTGAGTTTTCTCTCTGATTCATCTAGTTTAGTTTTTAGTGTATCCAAAGCCTGACTATGCACTCCAGTGGATTCCGAATGATCTTGGAGCAACCTACATGCAAAGAAAATAATCATTAGTTTACATAATTCGCAATGTAGTTGTTTTCAGTCGATAAATAAAGCATGCTCTTGGAATCTTCTAGCTTGATGTTTCCAACAAATACTAGAATATCGAGTTTGAGTTAAACAATAACACGATTTAAATCATTAATATGGAAATACTTTTCACAACAAACCCTTTCATGGCCTTTTTCAATTTTTGAATGGGATCACTAAGCAAAAATCCATCAACATGGCTGCAAAGAATGCCTTAAAATACGTTAAGCTGCCAAATTTAAAAGTGATTTGTTAGAAGCTAATGAACTCGAATATATAACTCCAAAACGTCGCAGAATTTTACAGACGTTACGTTTGTTTTGTTTTGTTTTCTTTTTCTTTTTCAGGTGCCCACGGCCACGGACCCAGTAGTGCAATGGTCAGTGCAATGGCCGAACGACATCACGATACTTGACAGAGCCGGAGTGCAATGGCTCTGCCGAGCTACGCCTGAAGTATGGTGGTGGTAGGGAGGGAAGCTCGTGCCCCCCACTATACAAACGTCTGTAAAATTCCATGACCTTGTGTAGCAATATATTCACTCTCTTTGGACATCTCTCCTTTAAACTTGGTAGGTTACATTATTTTGAGGCTGTCTTTACAGCAGTGTTGATGGTCAGAATATTCGGTAATTGATCTTTATCAAACAGTGAAAAAACTATGGAAGAGTTAATGTAACAAAGTGGCAGATGCTAGTACAGTCCAACCCTGCATTATGGACACCCGCTCAATATGGACACCTCGCTATTACAGACAGTTTTGTTTGTCCCTGGGGAAAGCCCTTACATTTTCTCTCAATTCAACCCGCTTATATGGATGTAAGTTAATGCGGACAACGGACACTTATTTCTTGCCCAATCAACAAATTCTCATAAAAGCAAACCTCGCTAATGCAGACACTTCATTATCAACTGTATCCTGTAATAGACCTTTCCTTTTTGAAGGTAAAAAACCTTCAGTTGACAGCAAGTCCATGTTCCCAGTGCTACAATACACCAGATAAGGGTGATTTGTAAAAGTCAATTTTTGGCATCAGAGGAATTTTGCAGAGAATGGTTTTGAGCAAGTACTAAATAAATGAGCGATTTTTAAGTGTTTCAGTGTACTTAAGCCGCATAATGACGGCTTTGTGAAGGTTACAGATGTTTAATTTGACAATGCTAAAGTCCTCTTTTATTTCTTTGGTATTTTGTTCTAATAAAAGGTGCGTTTTTTCACTTTCATAACATGACCAGCTTCATACGGCCTCTCCGTTAATGCGGACACTTTTCATGGTCCCATCAGTGTCCGTATTAACTGGGTTTAACTGTATTGTTGGTTAGTTCAAGTCACCCGAGTAAGAAGGCACTTTGCAATCCTGCACATGTACTTTGCGAATGGCTAGCCTGTTACAATAATGATTACTTCACACTTCTGACCTTTCTCTTTCAAGTTGGTACTCCTCAATCTGCTTACGCTTGCTCTGCAACTCCTGATCTGATTCCTGTACTCTAACGCGCAAGACTGCTAACTGTGAGTCCTTAGCATTTAGCGTCTCTGTAAAATCATCTTCCTTTGACCTCAGCTGTCTGGTAATTTCCTCAGAAGCTAACAGTTGTCCCTGGCATCTTTGAAGATGTTTCTCTGTTTCTTTTGTTCCTGATTTGAGATAAAAAAAAGTAAGTAATGGATTACCTCACCTTTACCTTAACCGTTCTTGAAGTCATCTTGCTTAAAACAAAATTAACACTGTCAGGTTTATTCAGGACTGACTAGGTCAACAGCAGAAAAAGCTACTTTATTAGATGGCTTCAATAGTACGCATGCTCTGATTGGCTGCTAAGTGGGCATTATTTTTTTGTAATGACTGGGCAATACTAGCGACACAGTAAAGTGTCCAAGGCATATAAAATCTGTGTTCAACTTGACAGTGGACATCAATGTTATGGTCGATTGACAGCTGTCGAAAGGGTACCGGCTGACCTGTGGGACAGGGCTGTATCACGGGCTCAAGTGCACACCTCACTGCAGTGCCTTGTTTTTTCAAGTTTTCTGCTGACCAGTTATTAGTTTTTATTTGACCACAGGCTTAGGTCCATAAAGAAAAGGCCATATAATAAATAACTTACTAACCTCGTCCGATTGGTCACTACAGTGAAATCTCAGACCTCGGCCTTGATGTATTGACAAAGCGATACCTCTGTCTGAGAATTCCCTGTTATGACCTCACTCTCGGTTAATAAGTGGTATATAAAAATGGGCAGCAAGTAAAAAAGATGCCTCCCAAATTCATTGCCTATAGTATTGCTTGCTTGCCCACTGTTTACCTCCCTACCACCCCCTCCCATCTCATGCTTGTGTTACTTGCTATTTGTTACATTCCCTTTGGTTTCCATTGAGGAAATATAGAGGATGTGAAGAGTCTGTTACCTTAACCACCTCACAGACAGTCAGGGATGTAGCGAAGGAGAAGATAAGAAGGCTTTTTTGTTAGTCAAGCTGGCTTTTTTACTCAACTGCATCTCTAAATTCCCTCATGTCTTTGTTTTTCATTGCAATTAAGGCAAGTGGTAAGCTCTTTTTCAGCCACAGAAATTGGCTGGGAGCCGGTTGTTAGCAAAATCCCTGCATAGCAATGAGTTGTTGATCATGGAAGATTTGGCCTCTGCTCTTTCATGGTGCAATATGACTGATACTCACTTTTTTCAGCTTCTTTTGCCCTTTGCACTACAGACACCATTTCTTCATTCAAAGAAGCCACCTCTTTTCTCAGTAATGTGTTTTCTAGTTCAAGGTTAGACATATGGTGATCATCTGTGTGGTGGCCACTGTTTATTGCAACAACATCATGCTGAGGCATTTCTTGTGACTTGGGCTCTTCCACACTGGGACCATTAGAAACAGCACTAACCTCATGAACATTATCATCAGTTTTTGCAACAGTTCCTAGTAACAAAATAATATTTAGCCATGGAATACTGTAACCTAGAAATAGAGAACCGCCAATCAGGGAAGCAAGATACATGTAACTTGCAATCCAGATTCCCACCATGCTTAACTTCCCTAAAATCTAATCACTACAGTGGTTTTTAACTCATTTAGCATCATTCATCAGTTAGAAGAGCCTTTCGGGATGAGTGTTGATGGTTACCACTCACTAGTTGCCATGGATACATTCTGTTCATCTCTTATATGCCTGGCATCACCATCCTCTAGGGCAGCTACACTGTCTTAACCTCATCTACTGTTGATGAGTTTAACAAAGAGGTTTGTAACCCTAAACACTATATCATGATAAAAAATGGATATTTCTTTTCATGTGATACCCTACTAAAAACTTCATGATTCTCGAAAAATTACAGCAGAGAATCTCCACACATTTCAATTCTAAATAAGAGATAAAATAAAAATTTTGAGGGCATCAGAGTAGCAAGTGTACCAGCTCACCCTCGTTAAGTTTCCCATCCATGGAATCAGCTAGGGTCTGCTCCATATTACTAATGGGTTTTGACACCACTTCTGAAGAGCTTTCCACAGACACCTTTGGCTTGATCACTTTTCGTTCTTTTGTAGCAGGAATGTTGCTATTTAGGAACTCAAATAATTTATCATCACTTTTGTTTTCTGTTCGTGCCACCCTAGGGGGTGTCCTGGTACCAGAAGGAGGTAGACGAGACTTGATGGGAACTGTGGGGCCACCTGAGTGCAGAAAGAAATGAGAAGACATGATTGTCACTATTGTGTGAAGTTACTAGCAGCCTGAGAAAACAGCCAACATTTTGCAACCCCACTACTGGTTTTCCCACAAAATGACATCTGAGAAACGAGTGCAGAAATTCTATACCAATGACCATCACAACCCAGACCTGGGTAGTGCTTCTGATCGCTGAAAATTTGCTTCAACCAACAAGAACCACTTCCCAGATCATCAGTATGAAATTTCTGCACTTGTTTCTCAGACGTTATTTTGCGGGGAAACCAGTGGTGGCCTCGCAAAATGTCGGCTTTACTTTTCTGGCTCAGTTACTAGAGATCCTAGTAACATGAGAGTCACATGGGATTTCAAAGTTTCTTTGTTGTGAAGAGTGTTTGGCTGCTGACAGCCACTAAGATTAGAGAATTTTCTGAGAGTTATGAATAAGCTTGTAATAGCTCAATATTTTAAGTCAGGCAAAATAAATAGTCTCCTGGTGTGAGTGGGCATGAGATTAAAGTTAATGATTCCCAGGTGTGAGAGGTTAACAGATAAACAAATAGCTCTGGCTCCAGTCAATCAAAAGGTAGATAATGCTATACACTGAATAATAATCCCTATCCAATCAGGGTGCAAAGAAAGTCGGTTCTACAGCTTGCCACTCAGGCAAGTTGTTGCTAGTATGCACTAGCCCAAGAGTCTTTTAAGTAGCCCAAAAAGATTTTTGATGAGCAGCACTGATTACAGTTCTTCTGTAATTTGATTTCCCAAAAAACTTCAATCCCTTCAGGCAAGTTAAGAACAGGATTCACTAGGTCTGATTGCAAAATCCACTAGCCCTGGGCTATCAGACACGACTTTCTTTATACACTGGCAATTATGGATAACAAGATTGGTTTCTCCAACACTTATCCACTGGATAGATATTTCCCCATACGATAGTGATATCTACCATTTGAACAACTGTGAGAAACCACATTGCTAAAAGAAGACAGTTTCTAATAATTGTAATGCGTTAAACTGAACATACTCATTTTACAACATTTTATTTGATGGGAAAGTGACCTGGGGTTTGGAATTAACACTATGTCACAATCTATTTATGGTATTCATCATTAAAACAAGATGTCATTGGCATGACAATTTTCATTGCCCCACGCAGGGCTCAAAAAATTCCTGTCTGCTAGTTTGGGACTAGTCAATTTTCTTGCTGACAAGTAACTTTTAAAGGTTACTTTCCCAAAATGCAAATCATTACCTAAGACAAGGAAGTAATGGTCCCAGGCAAGCCAAAATAAGATTGCTCCTTATTCATACTTTGTTAGCTCTGCTGACTAAGTGGCTATTCACATGATCCAGAATGATTTTCATTCTGGAACAAGCTCATTTCATCTTCATATATTTCTCTGATATCGAACTGACATTTCATTCCAGTACAAGTAATTCTGGAATGAGTCCATTCCAGTTTTCAACCTGAATTGAAATTCGTTCTGGTACAAAATTTCATTCTGGTACAATGTAAGCTGAAAACAAACTTTGTTCCAGATTGATTGCAAATCATGTGGTCTGGGACATGTTGTACACCCATATCTGATCTGGTGTGAGCAAGAACTCCTCAGGCTGAGCCGTTCCATTTTATCAGGTGAATGCAGTACAAACCTCACTCTGGAATGAAACTCACTCTGGAGTGAAAGTCATTTTGGCGTCATATGAACAGTCCATAAGTACAAGAAGACCATCCATGCCTGTTGTCTATCACGTGAACTGTGAATCACTGAATATACAAACCTAAAACACTAGTGTCACTTGCTGATCTTGTAATATTTCCCTGTTGTCCACTGGGTGGTACAGAACTTGTTCTTTGAGTAGAAGCAGGGGTCACAGATGGTAAAGGTGTGGTACCACTGCTGTTTAGTCCAACATTTTGAATGTCAGCTTGTTCCTTTGTCAATGCTGTGGCTGCAACATTGTCAACTTTCTCCAAAAGTGACTCTGCTTTGCCCGCGAGCTCAGTAAACCATGACATGGTGAGTTTTAATCTAAAAATTTAATAGCATGCCACTGAATTCAACAAAAAAATAAGTGTTCTACAACAGTTTTAGTAAGAAAATTGTAGTGGCAGAGACAGGTTAAAATTTTGCACTCAGGAGGGGGCTTCACCTCCTTCAAATTTCTGGTGAAAAAAGTACAGTGAAGCTTCCCAGGGTGACAGTTTTTTGAGAGTGCACAAAAAAAAATTAAAGTTAAAACTTCTCCTTGTAGTTATCCTCATCCTTGAATCTAAAGGTCTCTAATAGCGACAGTTCGCATTACGTTACCTATCAATATTAATAAGCTAACAACAGACTCATTAGCTGCTGAGAAAATGGGTTCTTCTGTTTCAGTGGTTGGCACATTTGAATCACAAAGACAATGTTTACAGACAAGAGAAATCACTATAACTTATCAGTACCTTATTGACTAAACAATACTACAGAACTAATCATGTGACTGTGGAAATGGATAACCCGAATTACCATTCATTATTTTAGCACTTAAAACATAGTCAGGAGCGACGTTACATTTATATCTCTCAAGAGACAGTATATCCGATGAACTTTGCTTGTAAAATAAATTATTTACCAAACAAGCACGAGAAAAGCATCACAATTGTACCACCAAAAAATTATACTTGCAAGATGTATAAACGTCAAATTGATACTAAGAATACTTGGCAATAATTGTTCATGTTGTATTTATATCTGTCATATTTCCTGGAAGGAAAGCTCGCTGTGGTGGAAACCTTTTGAAGAGATACTATCAAAAGCTTGAACGCATTCCAACGTCATCAAGCTATTTGACAACGAAATGACCACTCAGTTAAGTGGAAAAAAAAATCCCACTAGCGCCAAGGGAATACTATTGAGACGAAAATTTCCAGAAAAGTGTTTTCTAAACATTCAAGACAACCTCGAACCCGAGATCTTAGATCAGGCTGATTTAAACGTGAAGGCGCATTCGATTATTGGCTAACTGCTAAGATTCGTGTGATATGCATAACTTACCCTGGAAACTAATAAACCTCTTCCTTTCTGAACTTAAAAAAATCCCATTCCTGAAGAATCTTCTGTGAGTAAGCAATGATTGTTACCTTTAGCGAGAAATATCAGACAATATCGATCCTTGCAGATGCAGTAGATTGCAAGAAGGCCGCCATGTTTACATCGTACGTGTCACAGCAATGTTACGCACTCCCCCATGGAGAAAACCGCAGGACTTTGTGTTGGGGGCTCTCAACTGATATTAATAAAAAAAAGTAGCAGAGAAAAAAGAAAATGGATGTACGTGTCACCTTTATACCCCATCTCTGCAAAAGGAAGAGGTAGATGTGTGGAGATTCTGTTTCAGAAACAGAGACCACAGATTTCTGACAAATTTTTTACTGGGGGCTTCAAAAATGCTTTTCCTTTTTTTTTAGGCAAGATGGAATTCTGTCAGTTATTTCTCTAGGATGATGGTTCTGTTTTCCTTCTCAGCAAATTCTTTGAAAAATTAGCTTGGCACTGCCTTCCATTCTTTGATTATTTCTGGGCAATTATCGGATCCTGATAATCAAACCAAAACAACTATTGTGCTGTTCTAGCTTCCCAAAGAGGGTTTTCATTTTTGTTTGGAAGTCCTCAACATCAGAAGTAGACTACCAGCAGTCTCTGTTTTGTCTTAGTCCATCGAGACATGCAAATGCCTCTGCTCGACGGTCATACACGCATGTACTCCCCTCACTAACTCTGAAGAAAAAGAGAGATTGCTTGCAGTCTACATCAAAGTTTCAGCTAGTGACCATAATGGAAGGATGATGGGACAAGGCTCTCTGCACACGAGTGTAATTTGTTGGACGTCTCTAAGGGAGCTAGTAACAAAGCCTGCAGAATGGGAGGTTGCAGGTTCGATTCCCGAGGCCAGACCACACTGAGCTCAGGGTCTAGAATATCTAAGGAAAAAGGTACTTCCTTAGCAAAGCTGTGCTCTAAGAAAAAGTGAAGGGAGCCCAGTGCTCAGAACATGTAAAATCCAGGGTGCCTGGCAAAATGATTCAAGATGCCCAAGAGCAAAAGTTAACAACAAGGGGCCACTTGGCTCTGCAAGAGCACAGCCTTGCTTTGCCTTGCAAATAGGCACAGATGACTGAAAGCTATTTCTGTTCACCTGGCTCTTGCCGTCCAAGGGGAGAATATAGCTGTGATGTACACTAAAAAAATCATTGTATCTCGTGAATAAAAATTATTAAAAAATCAGATATCCATTGGGTACATAGAAAAAAAATCTTTGGCTGATAGTATTAACCAGCAGGGTTGCAAATAATATTTTTCTCTTGAAAGGATATATGTCCTACTAAGACACCATCTTGGTCAGACGAAAAAAAATTTTGGTTGGACATCACCAAAAAAAGGTTGAACTTTATATCAGGTGAAACAGAGGACATACTATGCTAATGTAAAAGAAATCTTCATTTACCCAAGTCATTGTTGTTTCATGACCTCAAGATTGTCCTAACACAAAGTAAGATTTACCCGAGGTAGATTTTCATTCTTCCTTACCGTAGAATGATTTACGACAAAAAAATTCTCCCGACATAATGTCCAAACACAAGTGAGATCTCATCGGACACTAGCAAATTTTGGTTGGTCAATATCCGATGAGCGACTGTTATTTGCAGCCCTGAACCAGGATCTCATGACAGTAGAGGCAATTCGTAGAAAAATTTATTACATAAGAAAACCTTTCCGTTTATCCATACATATTTCACTTCAGAGCCTGCTTCATTTGAGCTTAGATAACAATGTTTTTGTCAATAAATATTTTTGTTCTTCAGTGACCTCAAAATATACTGGGTTTCATATGTCAAATTTTACAAATTAAAGACCCTTACATTCCGTATCTCACTGCAAGAGGGAATACACCCAAAGAATCGCCTTTTCGATAATTTAGAAAACAACAGAAGCTGAGGTTCCAGTACCCTTCATTGTCTTCCTTCTCAATTGCAAATCGGCCCGCAGTTCATTTTTCCTTTCGCTTATCTCCATCTCAATGTTGATGTTCATTTGCCTCTTAAAGCCTTTAAACCTTCAAGGATTTTTCGGAGATTGTTCTGAAGCTGCTCTGATGATTATAAAGTACAAGTCTACACAGCTGCTGGGTCATTTGGAGGGAGCCCTTGTCTTCTCCTAACAGCCTTTCTTTCGTTCCAAGCTTTCTTGCACTCCTTGTACGCTTCAAAATACATTTTGCACTTGGTCTTGTCGTAGTTGTTTTCATCTAAACATTTCATGGACGCTTGTGATTCCGCAATGCAAGGATTTGTCCTTTGATCGGTGTAGCGCTTTAGTCCGTCCGCCATTTTGTTTCTCATAGTAGCTCCAGTCCCTCTCCGTTTGTTGGCTCAAGCAAGGCATGTTAACCGGAAGTGGAGTTTTTGCATTCTTTGGCAGGGAGAATCGTCTCAGTAATGAATCAGCAACAGTCCCTTATTTTTCTTTTGAGTTACACGCGTGATTTACCTTTTTCAGCTTTTTACTTGCCGCGCGTGGCTCTTAGGAAAGAAAGACGATCTCTCGGTCTATCTCAGTGAGAACATAGACGCTTTGTTTGCACTAGGGGAAGATGCCTCACTTCCGGTTGACGTGCTTCGCTCAGAAACGCCTTTGCCTAAGCACTGCGAGGAAGGAAAACGAGGATGGGTCACAGTCGAAAAGGGTCACTTATACCCTCACAAGTAACGATTTGTGCGTCGCATTTATTTCGTTACCATCTCAACATAAGCGTATTTTATCTCATTCATAGGGGAGAATGGGTTATAAATAAGAACATCTTTAATTACCACTATTAAATTATTATTACTATTATTATTATTATTATTATTATTATTATTATTATTATTATTATTATTATTATTATTATTATCATTATTATTGTCATTATAATCCATGCAGGAAGATAAGTCACTGTGTTCGACCTGTATTATTTATCTTCATGTAAAATAATTTACGTTCTAGTTTCACTTAACAAAAGTTGAGGTAGAAACAGTCAGTCTTAAAAGATGAGATAACCCTCAGGAGTTTTTCCAGGCTAAGATACCTTTTTCCTTGTGATTTCTGCAAAGACCTACCCCGTTAACAGAACGTCTAGCGCTGCGGTCGAGCGAGCGATGAAACAGTTCTGAACTTACGGTACGACACGCACATTTTGCACAACTTAGAACTAGAGCAGTGCCCTCACAGGGGTAATCTGTCCGGCGAGCACTGATTCCGAGCTTGGTATGTTCGTGCATGCATTCGTGCCAGCGATGCAAAGGGGGCGGGGGGGGGAGGGGGACGGCCTTCTCCCTCCCAGGCCCCCGCGTGGTTCCCGCACCTGTTTTCAAGATCACTGCACACTACTGTCTTGGATCCTTGCAAGAGTAATTTCCATCTGATCTAAATCTTTTTTCCAGTGTGCCACCAGTATAATATCATATGAGGGGCCCGTTTTCTTTACCTAGCCTCACTCGGGACTTGACTCGCACATGAATTAATTCGCCTCAGGGGTTTTCTTTGGGGCGCGTATACCTCGTTCCCAGGGTCTCCTCTTCCCGGAAAGACGAGAGACACTGGAATGAAACTGGGTTGGAACCTTCCCAGCCTGTTCCCAGCTATTTAAGATATGTAGTTATGAAATCCTCCGCAGACTTGTCTTTCTGATTTCCATTAGCTTTCTTGGACTTGGTTTGTTGAGTCCCATTTATCTTTCTCGTTGGAGTAAGCGGTTTTGGTAAAAGGGCTTTTCTTGAGATTTCAAGTCTTCCCGTTCGCTCGTCCTTTCCAAGGTATTTGACGTCTACAGCATCTCCTACTTTCATTCCTATGTCCCTTGGGTTATAAACCTATAAAACAATTAAAGAAATAACATGAATAATTTCGGAAGTCAAGACAAACAGTTATTCGAACGAAGATAACACTGTTTTCAAATGAAGCCAAAGTCAATCAGACCAACCCTAATACCAAGTTTCCTCGAGTAAGTGCTCAGGCGCTTATTCCGTGATAATTTCGATCAAAAGCGAAGCGCTTATTTTAAAGGGAGACACTCTTAAGTACATGTGCGACCCCTTCTCGTAAGCGACCAAGCGCCGGTCCAAAACACCAAATTGTTCCCAATCAAAGCCTTAATAGTGAAACCTCTTGTAAACGACCACCTCCTGTAAGCGACCGCGACCACTTTTCGTGGCTAACGGGACTACTTCACGCATGGTCTGATCTCTACGTTCGCTCTATGTACTGTGTTATTTGAGTATACGAAGAGCTTTTAACGACAACATGGAACACCCATATCATAACTTAAAAAATGCATGCTGTAAATTTTCTTCAAAAAGTGAACATGTCCAGACCTCTTCTCGGAAGAGACATACTGTAGTTCGATTCTCTCAGGCAATTACTTAAACTTTGCATTTTGGGAGGTCGCTTTTGCGAGGTGCGACTTTCATTAGAAAGTGGGAGGGGAGAGGGGCGCTCATTTTGGGTGGCAATCATTCAGGGAAAGGTGCTCAGTAGGAAAGGGCGCTTATTTGAGTAAACGTTGCTTGAGAGTCATGTGAAAAGGGCGCGACTTTGCCCATGTCGTTTCTTACCCTATTGTGAGACATTTCTGTCACGTGTAGCAGTACACTGGGCGTGTCCGGTAACAGTTCCACCATAACACCATAATCCCTGGGAAAAATCAAACCGAAATTAACACACTTGTTTTGAAGACTTGCCAGGCAAATAATGTTTCGGTGCGTTTTAAAGAGAGGGGAATAATAGGCCACTTGCACTAAGAGGTCACGTGACCATTGCTTCCTTTAAACAATGAGTTGGAATCTTGCTGATGCCAAAAATTGACAGAGCACATAAAAATTATCTTACACCCGCAGTTTGAAAGGAAACGCATTTAAGGGAGATATTTTATGGGACTTTGATTTTTCGGCAGAGTAGTATAATTTGTATTGGCCCGTTGGCCGCCATGTTGGAGGGCATACTCGTGCCCTCCAACATGGCGGCCAAAACTACTTTTTGCTTTTACCTTGTTAAACGTTAGATAGTTACGCTCAGACGTGCTGTAAACGTTACCATTTCATCTTTTCAACATTTTCCTGAAAGTTTAAGTGCAAAATTTGTGTTCCAGAAAGAGGTAATTCATAATTTTAAAAATCACATTTTGGTCATGTGAACAGCTACGAATTTACTCATTTTACGAAAATGGAAGGGGTTTGAAAAACCAAATCACTATTATGTTGTTTAAAATATGACCCACTAATCGTTTTTCAAAGCAAAATCATATAGCTTTCATTTTCATGAAAACGATGTCCCATGATCTCTTAGTGCAAATGGCCTATTGCATTATGAAGAAAATTTTCCTAGGACCAATACACTATTACAGATAATCAAATATACAGAAAGAAGCAACAACACACGAGGAAAACGCGCAGGGTAGTAACTCTCGCAAAGTCTCATATGAGTGATTTGCAATCATTCAAGAAAAGCTGAAATAAAACAGGTATTAAAGAGAAAAATAGCCCGACCCTCAGCAGCTACAGTGACTAGGTGGCCAAAAAACAAGCTCATGAGATCTGATAGACGTTTAGAAAAAGCAAAAATCAGTGGAAGCACTGAGAATCACTAAGGTTGTAAGTGAAAAACCCCCACACTCTGTTTAACAATAATGAGAACTTGAAAAAATTGAAAAACAGTGACATTCTCTACAACAATGTGAAGCTCGGCTGAACGACAAAGGAAACGGGTGGCAAAGATCGAACGGTTGATTTACAGTGTGTAATGTTCCGAGGGGTGGCTGTTCAAGATGAAACTTGGTGATTCTACAATTTCCGATACCTCATCAGTATTGCTTCACAATAATGGATTATTGTTCCATTTCAATTAAGAGCCCTCTTATCTTAAGTACAGTAAACTCTCGCCTTCCGGACACCCCGCTATAACGAACACCCCGATAATACGGACAGCAGCTAAATCCCAAGGCAAAAATAAACTATAGATGTTTGACTGAAAAACAACTCCCGCTATTACGGACTCTCGCTAATGAAGACACTAACTCAAGGTCCCTACAGTACAGTGTCCGCTACAAAAGGAATTGACTGTACGCCGTGTTCTATGCAACCGACCGCGGGGTTGGAGAGATAACTAATAAGCCGCTACTGACCTCACATCAACAATGTTCGCGGTATATTTTTCTCCAACCTCCAGACATTCTGTCCAGTCCTATGAACACCAAAGAAACCAAGCTTAGAGCCGGCTCACTGGAACCTCCATATAACGAAGGGCCAAGGGACTGGTAAAATATGTTCGTCATAATGAGGATTCGTTTTTCGTTGTATCACAGTTATTTTCCATATCATTATTTTACTATTACTCGAGCAATGAATATCGGTCGTTACACCACAGACTTCATTATATAAAGGTTCGTAATATCAGCGTTCCACTGTATTGTATAATTCTTTTCTGCATAACAACTGAACGTGATACTGTATTTTCGTGCGAAGGCCTGAATAAATTCCTTCACCATAACAGCTCCACTTGCCTATGATATAGAATTCGCTCTCCTGTGTCTTGCGTTCCATTTGTTTGTTTGTAAATTATAATTCAAAGATGAATTTAAACTCGCCACTAATACCTCTTGTGTTGTTAACTCGTTGATTTTTTCTATCGTTTCCTGAAGAACTTTCGAGTTAGGTGCAAACACTGAGAACTCCTCTTCGTCGATTCGACTGATAATTGAACCTGAAGAACACAGCACAACAGGAGGTAAGTGCTTTGTTGCGCCGAATTAGTGCTTAACGAAATGTCCTTGTATCAAATGAGGAGAATAATCCTGAACGCCTCAACTTGTTCAAGAAGTTAATCGTTTTAATATTTGCTATTTACATGTGTGTAATACTTTTCACGCATTCGCCAGTTCCAAATCCTCCCATTTTCTCTTTGTTAGCCCTAAAACTTTGCCAAGGCATTAGCTGGCATTGTTTTAGATTATCGGTGACAGTGATTGTGAGTGTCAAGAAAAAAAAATTACAAACAATTTTGACGCAAACTGTGGGCAAACAAATGAATTATGGAAAGACGTGGGCATGGTTTGACTGCGCTTTGTAACGTTTTTCTGGATTCAAGCGCTTTGTTTCGGCCCTAAGTTTTGCAGGCCGTACTACATTTTCGCCGCGCTTAGCACCCTGCTCCAATTTTCCCGCGGCTGGCAACGGTTTTTTGTTGTTGCTTCTCGCGCTTAGCGTTAGTTCTAAGCTTCCCCCCGCTTCCCAAATCAAGGGCAACTGAAGTCACTTCTTTTTTAAACACAGCTCTTATGCTCAAACCTTCCTCAGGT